GTTGAGGCGGCCGTTGAGGCGGCCGTTGAGGCGGCCGTTGGGGCAGGCGGTAGCGCAGCCCCGAGGCCGGGGGGTCGCTGCCCGGGGCCTGGCACCTCGATGCCGAGCCCGGGGAGCGCTCAGACCCGCGGGACGGGGAGGAGGGACCCTCCGGGTGCTCCCCCCGAGCGCTCCCGGTTTCGGGGTAAGGAGGACAAAGTGCCCGACCGGGGCTGCTGCTTTCCCCGCGAAGCGCGGGTGGAGGAAGGGCCGAGTGTGGGGCGGTGGGCCAGCAATTCCCGTCTTTTTTTGTTTTTTGTTTTCCTTCTGTTGATCGATTCCTGCTCCATGTCGAGCTGAAGAGAGGTGCAGGGCAGAAGCTGTGGCCCTGGGTTTAAGTCAGGCCCAGGGTTTAGAGCTAGTCTGGAGGCTTGGGCTCTCACCCAGCAAGAGATGTGCTGTGGACCTTCTGTGCCTCAGTTCTCTCTGTGTAAAATGCATAAATTGTATTTACTTGCAAGGGTGCTTTCAGATTTGCTTCTCGGAAACAAATCATTGATTAAACCAGCAATATTCCATGAAGATCTACTTGAAAATTGTATTAGCCTGGTCACTTGGCAACCATGTTATCATCCCTCTTACTGCTTTCTGTTTCATTTATGGGTTTTCTCCATTCTGTCACTACTGAAACCAACTGTGCTTGTCAGYGCTGCTTGCAGCAAAGCAAGAGGAGCAGCAGGGACACGTGATTTCTTTTTTCTCTTGACTGCTTCCCCTCGAGCTCCTCTTCTGCAGCTTCCGCTGCTGCGTCACTGGGGGAGGCTYGTGGCGGGCAGCTCTGCCGCTGGGGAGGCTGGACTAGCTGATCTCCAGAGGTCCTCTCCAACTGTTGTGTGGTGGGTCSCCAGCCTCTGTAGATGAACTAGTCCCCTTTAGTCCCCCCTGCAGTCTACTTCAGCAGTGATAATAGTGGAGGCCTCCTGTTGGGGTACTGGGTGACAGTGAGGGATCTGGCTATAAAATAGCTCTGGAAAGTGAAAAGTTTAACGTACAGCAGAACTCCCATCATAGAGGTGCARCCTCCAAAATTAGTAAAGAGATCTAGGGTAGTTCTTTGAAAACRTTGGCTCTGTTCTCAGAAGCAGCCCGGAATATGATTGAACTACTGGAAGTTAAGAGAAAAAAAAGAAAGTGCCCTCGTGTGGTCTGTGGTGCCCTACCTTGCTGAAGGCTGTGTGTGATTTTAGATACTGAGAGGTGCCGAGGCTGACTGAAGGTGTGGAGCTGTTTGTGCAGAGGAGCCAACCTCTTCGATGTGAAGAGCAGGCAGTTGGAGGGGATCTACAGTAACATAGTGTTACAAGAGTTGCGCAGTAAGGGACAGTTGCTTCCTGCCCATTCAAACTGGAGAACTGGGGTGTCAGATGAAACCTCGGCGTGGCAGCAAAAGCAAGGGGTTCTGTAAGCGAGATATAACTGTGGAACTCAGAAAGTGCCTTTGCCCCTTCCCTCACGAGGAGAGCACAGGATGTGGATGTGTTGCCCCATTTAGCTCCATATCTGACCCTGCTCTCCTGTGTTTTTGAGGATGTGCAGCCGTGCTCCCTTGGTGAAGGCGAGGCTGGGGAGAGCAACGAGCAGGGGCTCTCCTTCCTGCCCTGCAGAGCAGAGGCCTCGCACTGACCCTCACTGAACACTGTSTGTTGTCTTTCAGCACCAGGATTCCTCCTCGGAGCCTCTAAGGGACTAGATCCGCTTTTATCCTCTTTCCTGCCGCATTCCCAGAGCTCTTCAAGCCCRAGCCTCTGACTAGGCCTGAGCAGGGCCTATGTATCTACATCAATCCCAGGTACTAGCCTSCTGCAGACAACTTTCCCAGAGCTACGTGACGGAGCATCCGGTCTTATYCCTACATTTTGTTTGCGGCTTCTGCTTTTTGTCTGTGTCTGRCTGTTCCTTGCATTGTGATTTATTTCCTGCCCGGTGTTGCCTTTTCTGACCACTAGCTTATTCTGCTTTGTGATTTCTTCCTATCTTTATTTCTGACTTCTATTACACATTTCTATTTCTGTTGCATTTATTTAAGCGCCCTGATTCCAAGACTTGTCGTGATGGTTGCTGTGTAGATTCAGAATGCCCTATCAGAATAGCTGTAAGAGTTAGAAAGATRGGAAGAAACACCGATGTTTGTGGACGTGGCTTGCCTAAGATTACTGTCCGCATAGCAGACCCAAGGAAACACCCTTACTCTGGTATTCTCACTTGAGACTACCCCTTCCRTTTTCTGGATGGGAGATGGTCACTGAAAGACATAGAAAAGCGTGCAAGAATTTCTGGGATATGGAATTTCCTGGCTGTGTTGTACTTGCACCTTGCTGCCTCTCTGTCACTAGAGGAAATTCATTTTGAATCTTCTTGTTTCTCAAAAGTGGACATTTCTTATCATTTTTGTGAAGGCTTTTGGACTCTCAGAGGTGCCATCAACAGCAAAGTGCATTTTGGAGTATCATACCTAGAGGGAGTAGGAGATTGTTGTGGATTCTGGGTTGAACCTGCRCAGAAACCAAAGACAAGGTAAAACTTTTGTTATGAGTGTGGTGAGTGATGCTGTAGATGGTTACTGGGGGCAAAGAGTCCTACAGAAGCATTTAGATTGTTCTGTGGAATAAGTCAATGGCCTTAAACTTCTTACAAGCTGGGGAGGGAGAGGGGAAAAGAAAAAGAGACTGAGTCAAGAGGGCAATGAAGACTTATGGATATGTTTGGGAAAAGAGAACAGGTGTCCATGGGGCAAATGCCAGGGTATAGATAAAATGCTGGCGACCAAGCTAGTGCTCCTCCACAGTGGCAGAAAATATTAAAATCCCTCATTTCTCTCTCTCTCTCTCTCTCTCTCTCCTCCTCATTTTTATTTGCACACACCTCACACTTCTTTCTTACGTACTTTTCACAGTAAGAAATTAATGTTTCCTTCTTGGTTTCTGTCACCTCCTGGAAGACACTAGAGAAGTTTGAAAGCTGTTTCTCTTTGAAAGATTTTAGCTTTATCCTCCTTCCCATGATTTTTTAGTGACCCTTCAAGGGTAAATATACTAGTTCTTATTTCTCTGCTGTAAGTGCTTGGGTTCCTAGGAGCCTCTTTCCAAGAGCCAAATGTTAGTGAGCTCTGCTTTCCACTGTTCATCCTGCTYGGTGGGTATGAGGTGCGTCAGTAGCTTTGTGTTTTGTCCCAGTTTTCTTCCTGCAGGTGATTTCCAGATAATGGCGAAGATGGTGAGAAGAACGTGTGCGTTTTGTTCAGAGGGGGCGTCTGGCTCTATAATGTACATTGCCACAGAGCAAAATATTGCAGCTCATCAGGATTGTTTGGTGAGTTGTCAGTATGTGCAACAGAATGAAGAAGGGCCAAAGGGGACGTTTCCATTGTCACCTTTTTCCTGTCCCGTTTCATTTGGAATAGGGAACGATCTTCAGTTTCATGATCCTCTGAGCAGATTAGCTACAGGAAGTTTGGCTACAGAAATAAGTAATGTTAAAGTTGTTCCAGTGTTGGGCAATCGGGAGGGGCAGTGAGAATAAATCTGGGCTAGGAGTAGTGTAAAAGGAGGCCTGTTTCATTGCTGTCTGTTCACGTATTTTCTTAAACACTGACATGAGTGAGGCTTGTCAAATCACAGAAGGTTGTATATTTGTTTAAACCTTTGCAGTGAAAAAGTATACATCATTTGATATGTCAAGGAGTAAAAGTCTCAGTCTGTGTTTTGCATAAGGAGTGAAAAAATTGAAGGTTGGTTGTTTAAGTATATTAGTGAAGTTCTAAGCTAAGTTCTGGTTATGATCCTAGAAAACACTGTTTTTGCTGAAAAAAAATGCCTCCTCTTATTCTATAACTTTAACAGAGCTTGTTCTTGGCTTGCGGGCTTGGAAAGATCCTCTTTTTAGTGGAGATCACTTGGAGCAGGAATGACTTTCTGGCTTTCATCATTCTTATTCTTACTAGGGCTTTTTTTAATTTTTAGAATAAATATTTCTGAGACATCTGATGCATATTTTTAGGATGTTATCTGGGTGTGTTAATTGGATGTTAGCTTTATGGATTTCTGTCTTGGGAAGAGTGCCGGGTTTGGCTTTATTTTATGGTTACCTGTATCCTCCTCAGTGGGCAGACTGAGCCTGCCAGTCAACATAAGGGTAGCTGGCTGCTGTTTGAAACTAGCCATGTACAATGATTACAATTAATTACTCATAACTTCCCCATATCCTAATATATTTTTTTTCTCTTGTTCTTAGCTATTTTCCTCAGGATTTGTGGAATCTGAAGAGTATAACCCGGATAACTTGGATATAAGGTTTGATGTGACGTCYGTGTTGAATGAGCTCCGAAGAGGAAAGCGGTTGGTAAGGCAGTTTCTTTGTGAAACTGCACTCGGTGCTAACAGCAACAGGGCGTGCGTGGAAGGTTCTGTGGCTTCCCACAAATGCAGACAAGTACTTTGTTCTGCTGATTAAGGAAGTTACCAATTTAGAAACACTTGTTTGGCTTTGCGTTTAGGGAAATGTAGTATACTTGTTAGCATTTGTTGGCTTTTCTGGCCTTTTTTTTTCTCCTGAAAGAAAAGACTCTCCAAAGAAGATTTTGATACAGAACTGAGACCGTGTCTGAAACAAAATTATGCAATCCAGAAGTGTAAAGGAAAACATGTTTTAGCAGAAGGAAGGTTATTTATATGAGACTTTTTCTATTGTCCCTGTCCTTACTTGCCCTTGTCTCCAGGATGGATCTTTTTCCTTTTTGAAGTTAGCCCCCAAACCCCACAGTATAACCTGTTGAAATAATTTGGGCAAGATTTAGAGGAAGGGGGAGAGATGTTCAGTACCTCACATGGCTCTTYGTATCATTTTACGAAATAATCAGTGCGAAATTGTGGCAAAATAGCAGAAAAGTGACTGGAAAATTGAACACAGGAGAGGTTTGCAGGAGTAAAATGCAGTGAAATGTTCATTTATGCAGTGAAAACTTCAGTTCTCCCACAGGTGACAGTGTTTACCTAGTAAGGCYGAGGTTTTTCAGTAGTTAACTCTAGTGTCTCCCTGCTGGACTTTGCTTTCTGGTAGGTGTGCAACTTCTGTCGCAAGAAAGGAGCCACTGTGGGATGCGAGGAGAAAGCCTGTCGCAGGAGTTACCATTATTTCTGTGCCCTGTGCGACGACGCTGCCATAGAAACAGACGAAGTGAAYGGAGTTTACCGGTATTTAACCAAACATTTTCTAACTCCTTATCTCTTCTAACTTTGTCCTCCCTTTTCAGACCTCCTTGTACTTCCTGTACGTTGCTAGCAGGCTTTGAGAAAATGTAAGGAAAGATCCCTCTGATCGTGCGGGTCCTGAGGTGCTCTGCCCACAGGCTGCCTGCTTTACTGTCAGTAGATGGAGCCAGCCGTTTGGCAGAGGGAATGGGGGTTGCAGATGAACAGGTTGGGAATGGAGGCTGCAGGCAGTTTTTGGAGATGCTGCTGTTTCAGTAAGCACTGAGGTTCCTAGAACCCAAAATACCCATTTCTGTGTTAGGACAGAGAGATCTTGGACCCCCTGGTCTTATTACTCTGGGAAATTGTAWAATTGTTGCTTGTTTCAGGAAGAAGTGGAGTAGTGCAAACTAAGTTCCCCTTTCTGAAAGTGTGTAGGTCCAGTTATAGGAAAGAGGGTGTGTTTGGTTTGCCAACTTTTATAAGGTCCCTGGGAGTCTGTAAAGCTCATGAGAGTGTAGTTGGAAACATAGAAACTCCCTGGAATCACAAACTAAACTGGCTGTTACTGTTTGACTTTAGAAATGAYGCCTTGGCAGAAAAGGACTGAATTTCTCAAGATGTTGAAAAACTAATGGGGCTGATAACAGTCTATATACAAACCAGTAAAGAGCCTGTTCAGTATATGGGGTTTGGTTTGACGACTTTCTGACTTTGGAGATTTGGAAGGGGAAACCTGGACTTGAAAACAGGCTTTATTGTGCCATTGCATGAAACTAATTACTCTTGCTATACAGGAATATGGGGAGCTAGACTGAGGCAGTCTCTCTGAGGAAGTGAAAAATAACTGAAGAAAGGTGGGGAAAAGTTCAAGAGGTTTGGGGCCAAACCCCGTTTTTGCACTATATTGATGGGGAAAAAAAGTGAAGAAGGACCAAATTTGTAGCTAGTGTGAGACTATTGGTGAGAAAAGAACCAAGGCTTGAAAAACAGCAGGTGTGTGGATTTACAGTGGGAAACCCAAGAGGCAATATTAGGTATTCAGGGGTATATGTAAAGTGTSTCTGTGCTTAGCTCTCCCACCCAGCTGTTGGGCACGTGTAAATCTGGGTTTTGTGCGTCAGGATGGATTTCATATGCAGAAGCTGCCTTGTAAAGGAAGCAGTCTGTGTTTCTAAGGTCAGCACCTGTGTGTCTTTTTTGTTTTTTAAGGAAAAGAATTCAAATAATTAGAAAATGCCCATGTAAATGCAATTTACTCAAGGAAAAAAAGAAAAAAAAAGAACTAGCAACAGTGCTACTGTTTTCAAATGGAGATTTTCTAATGGAGATCAGCTAAGCCCCTCTCTGGCAAAACAAAACTGTTTGAAAAATGACTTGGGATCCTTCTGTAAGAAAGGCGCTGGTTTTGTAAGAAAGACTAGGAGCTGCTTTGTGCTTCCTGGAAAGACATTTCTTTCTATGTGTTACTGTATCCAGAGAGGAGGAATGTTGCTTGCTACATGTAGAAATGTTCCCGTCTCGCACTTGACTAAGGAGTGGAGGGACAGAGTAGCTTTCAGCTGCTGGACCCCCAAGAGTTCATACAACAATACTAAATATCAACACTTGATATTTCACCTGGATAAGCAACATATTAAAAAGCGATTAATGTTCAAAGGGCAGTGCCCCGTCGCCAGGCTGTGTGAAACGAGGCTGACACCAAGGTGTAAGCAGTGAGTAGGGGCAAAAGGAGTGGGCTAGAGGAACAGACGAGTCAAAACGTGGCAGCGTTCAGTCTGCTGAGGCTCTAAAATACAAATACAACCTTGTGCATGTGTGTGATTTTTGTAGCAAGTGCTCTGGGGTTTTACCAGGTGGGTAATGCTGAACAAAAATGAGRATTTGAAAATAAAATCTTTCAATTTAGTTTGAATTAAAAGAGGCGGAAGTAATTGTTAAAAATCAGTCAACACTGTTTACATATTTATTAATACTTTTTTCTCTTTTTCTTAAAATTGAACTTGAATTTTAGAGTGTTTTGCCCAAAACATGACCCAGGCAATAGGACCAATCACTATGGTGAGTTTCTTTCATGGCTTCATTGATTTCCTTTGTTTTAAAAGCTTGTCACTTACTCATTTGAGCCAAATCAATGTCATCCCACCCGTATAGTGTGGGCGCTTTCTAATCCTGCAGGAGTGGTTTGGTTGAGATCCATGCATGGGCAGAGAAGTCTTAAAGGATTTCGGGCTAGGAAAAAACTGCTTATGTGAGATTGTCCCAGCATCTTCCTCAGAACTGACTTGAAATCCTTGGAGAGCTCCTTTGTGGAGTTATCCTGATGGCACGCAGGGCAGGAGGCCCTCGGAAGCTCCCTGGGACGTAGCAGAGCCATGCGAGCGATTGATGCTCGACTTTGTTGCTTTCTCGGAGGGGCAGCTGCTGCAGGGGTGGTCCCTGCAACCCACAGCTGCACAAAACCRTGCACGTTTGCTTCTTCTGTAATCAGCGCGTTTTGACTAGGGCCTTTCATTCTGAAGGATCCCAAAGAGCTTTGCTTCGCGTTGCAGAGGGCTTCTGGAGGCCACATTCAGAGAGTGTTCCCTCTGCTGCACCGCTGTGGTTTCTCCTGGCCGTCCCAGGACCTGCTGATGTAGGCACAGTCCTGGCTTTCAGGGTCTACCTCAAGGGCGGCAGCCCAGCAGTTCCTCCGGCTCAGGCCGAGCTGAGGCAATAGGGGCTGGTGCAAAAGGGCTGTTTCTTGGAGCAAGCTGGGAGTCACAGACGTCCCCCTTGTTCATAGTCCAGGGAGTGTCCCTGTGCTGACTCGTGAGGCCGAGTCCAAGATGTCCCGTGGGGAAGCAAGCGGCCAGGGGCTCTGTACTTGCCCCTGCGCTTCCCGGCCTGCTGCGTGGCAGAGCACCCRGCGCTTCGTGCAAGCCACGAAAACACAGCCCATCGCCACTGCACTCGCCCCAAAGCACTAGAAATGCCCCCCAAGGCCATGCAGTTAGAAGGGAGAGGGGCACGGGGCCCTGCTGCCTATGCTGGGTGCTTGTCCTTCTCTGTAGCTTTCCCCTTCCCCTGCCACATCCTGATGCCAGACTTGCCCTGCTCCGCTCATAGGAGGCTGTTACGGTCTTCAGCAGCAGCTGCTGTTTTGGGGGTAAATATCAGTGCCCAGGGAAAGAAAGGCCAAAGGGAGAGCAGGTGGTTTCACCTCGGGCTGAGATCATGCTACATTAAATGTCATAAAGCTTGCAAGTGGAACTGGTCCTGCTTAGCAGCCCTTGGGGTTTTCTAGGAGGGTGGTGCAGCGAGGAAAATATATTACTGATGTGAAAATACTGTTCTGTGTAGCCTTAGTTTCGAGAGTGKAATAAAGTAAACAGTGATTGACTGGGTGAAAAACAATAATTTTTCATAAATTTCTGACTTTCCTGAGATTTTTACTCTGTACAGGCAGTGCTGCCAGCCGGAGGAAATTGGTTATCTTCCACAACGAAAATTGTATGTTTAAATCTGGGGTTTGCTTTACACTGGGATTAGTATCTCAGTGCTGCAGCGGTTTGTGCTTCATGGTTTGATCTTCTACTTTTTCCTACTTAGAAATAATAGAAATTGAACTGAAACRGTAGGTTTTGGGGAAGCTCAAATGCACTCGTGTGTTATCACTCCAAGTGTCTGACCTTTGTAGCACTGGGGATAAAGAGAGAATTTGAATTGTGTGAAATTCAGTCCGAGGTCAGCACGTTGTTACTTTGTTGTCTCTTGTTTCTAGATGCAGCCAGCAAGAGGAAAAGGCATGCCATGAAATCCTCTGCCATCAAGGAACACATGGTAATTCCCAGTTTCAGCACTGCTAAAACAGAAACGCGCGGCTGCTGCAGCGCAGGATTCGGAGCAGTGCTCAGAAAGGCACTTGCTCTCAGGAGTGCAAAACTTTTCTGTTTTGCCTATTAAAACTGTCAACTTTTGGTCTCGTGAGCATTTCAAAGCCAACCTGCCTGTGTTCAGGCGGAGCTGACCCTGCCCTCAGGGGCTGTGGTGCAGACAGGGAACCTCTCAGCCCTCTGAGCAAAGACTGACCCAGCAGCCATGATCTTGTCAGGAACAGAAAGAGCTTCCCCTTGGGGGCTGCTTTCTTTTTCTTCTGAAGTTTCTAAAGCCCGCGAATTTGCCTGGGGATGATGCAGTTTCYGGGAAAGCTGCTTTTGATGAGTCACTTGGTCTATTAAATCAGCAATTACTTCTTTGAGCCAGCGCTTGTGGCAAAGGTGGCAGCTTTTCCTTCTAGGTGAGGCGGCTGGGGCAGCTCTGCCTATGAAGGTGCATTCCCAAGGGCTCAGGAGCTGAGGGCGGAACAGCCCTCTGCTTGCACGTTGTTCTTTCCCTTCCTTTTACGGGCAATTGTTAGAAAACTTTGAAATATAGCTAATCTTGAGCATGAGGGGGTTCTGTTGGTTTGCAAGCTGCCATTGACTGGTGGGGTCAGGATACTTCTTTGGTAGAGGAAGTAGCATCTAGCGTTTCTTGGGACAAATTTCTTAGCCTTGGAGACTAAAGGGGATTGTGCTGAGGGGATACAGGAGTGCTGCAGCTTTCGTGCAGCAGCAGTTTCCAGTAGGTTATTTGTCCCCAGGAATTTCACAGAGTCACAGGATGGTTGAGGTTGGAAGGGACCTCTAGAGATCATCCAGTCCAACCCCCTGCTCCAGCAGGGACACYCAGAGCACGGGGCACAGGGYGGCAKCCAGGCAGGTTTGGGAGATCTCCAGAGAAGGAGACTCCACAACCTCCCTGGGCAGCCTGTGCCAGGGCTCTGGCACCCTCACAGGGGGGAAGTTCTTCCTCACATGGAGAGGGAGCTGCCTGTGTTGCARCTTGTACCCATTACCTCTTGTCCTGTCACTGGCCACCACTGAGAAGAGCTTGACCCCTTCCTCCCTGCATTTCCCCTTCATGAACTTATACATATTAATCAGATCAGAATTTGGCAGTTGCAAATCCACTTACCCTCCTGGTTTTGTAACTGAGATTCATTTGGTTTGTTGCCCAACTTAAAGTGCTGTTTCTGCTGCTCTCCAGTGTCAGCAATTCCTGTAATCAATGCAAACACTGCGAGTACATGGAATGTTTGCCCTGGAATTTGTTTAGTTACTGCAAAATAAATTGTTTAGCATCATATAAGCACTAGGGTTTGCACGGGGGTTTTGTGGCAGCACTTAAACACTTGTAGCACAATGGGATGACACAGAACAGCAGAGAATCCTGCATCCAGTCCRAAGGAAAAGAACTTTCCTCCTTTCCTCTTGAATCCTTCTAAGCCTTTTGTCCAGTCTGGAGAATTAAACATCATTTGTGTCAGGATTTAGCAGCAGTCRTTTGGTGGCATCTGTGCTATTTGAATCTGCCGGGCAAACGTCATCATCATAATAATAATAACTGGGTGTCCCAGTTATTGGACTTTCCTTAAAGGGATGGATTTGCTTCCCTTTTGGAAACTGGCTGTAAACACTGCAGAGGGGACTGCTGCTGAGTGGGGGAAAGGGGCTCTGGTCCCTGGACGTGGAGCGCTGCTGCTCTCTCTGTCAATGAAGAAGACGGTGGAAATGGAGCAGTCAGGGTCAATGTGATGTAACCATCCTTGTTCTTTTACAGAGCACAGAAGACACAGAAGAAGAAAACAGCTTACGAATACTAAAAAGGAAAAACAGGCAAAAAGGTGTGTGACTTATTTTGTAGCGCAACTAGCTGGTTCTGTGATCTGTTATGCTGAAATTCCGAGTTGGGAGAGGCTTGATTAAAATGATGCTGCAGATGCATCTTTCCGAGGCAGTAAGTGCCAGGCGAGGGAGCGAGTCTGGTGTAGCAGGGTGGCTGTGCAGGGTTTCTGTTGCTGAACAGCAGGCAGGTCTCTGCCTGGGCTGCCGTTTCTGTYGGACATGAGGCAGTTCTTCCCCTGGATGCTCTGATACTCCCTCCGCTCCAGCTGGCTGCTTGTTAAGCTGTGTGCAGACACAGGTGCCTCAGCCTGACCCTCTTCCTCCCTCTCCAAGTGTTTAAGCTCCTGCATAAATACGCCACTGTAATATATGGGAAATCCACTGCTGGAGCCATCCTGCAGCTCCACAGTTTTCACGTTATACCGAAAGTCCTGCTGTAATTGTGAGCAGGATCCACTGCCAGGCAGAAGTTTGGAGGACTGAGTGTAGTACTGAGTAAAGGGACATGGTCTTGTAGGAACTGTAGGTGGCTGCAGAGGGTTCTTTTTCTCAATATTTTTTAAATACACTTATAAAGTACGGGGAGCCTGTAGAGAGTTGTGCAGTAGTTTGTAGGACACCTAGTGTAGGTGAAATGACATTTTCTTTCGGATTTCCAGTAAAAAGTAACATCACGTTTCAGTGGAGACTCGCAGCCTTCTCTGAGTTCTGTGGTAGTTCTTCCCTCTTGAACAGCTCACTGGGCCTGCTGAAACCTGTCCCCATCCTGCTGCTCTGAGAGATGGGGGAAAAAAAACCCAAGCAGTTGCATTTCCCCTGCAATCCCAGCCTGACAGAACAGACATACAACAACATGGACATTTACTACAAATGAACTGCAGTAGATGGTTACCTGTGTCGCTTGGTGCTCTTGCCGAACACAGTATTGGCTTCCTCCTTGCGCTGTTCCCTGTCCTGGGTAGCAGGAGGCTTCGGGCAGGGAGCGCTTCAGGGTTGTGGGGATGGCAGTTTTTGAGGAGGGCAGCCCAGGCTTACGCAGTTTTACCCAATCAGCACAGCACTGGTGTTGGCCTGACCCCGTGCTTGGTGCATGGCGAGGGGCTGAGTGGGCAGAGCTGAGGAGCCAGGGGTTTGCGTGGGGTCTGTTAGTGRTGGGGGAGCTTAACCAAATTTTTGTGACTTTTGGGAGGGGCAAGTGAGGGCTGTTATCGTTAATATAYAGGAAAGACAGACCATGCAGCTGTGCTGAGGATCACTTTTGCTCCTGTGTTTTGACAGTACGAATAGACTTTCTTAGGAAGTGCAAACAGGCGGGGCTATTGGATGAGATCTTTGAGGAGATGCTGGACACGCTTCACCTGGCCCAGGAGAAGCTGATGGACGACAACACTTCGGAGACGGGTATGGGGAGCCCGGGGAGGGGGATGCTGCTCCCGTGGCGCGGATCTCCACAGAGGCCCCTGAGCCCTGGGGCGCCTTCCTGGGAGATCTTGGCTAACGGTGCCCTGAGAGAGAGGTCCTGGAGAGAGCAGGAAGCTTTTATGTGAATCATAGATTCATGGTGCTCTTCATGGAGGGACCAGCTGCCTATTAATGCCACTACTCTCTATGTACGCTTTAAGTGTTTTAATTACTGGGGTGATTACTTAGAATCACAGAATCCTTAAGGTGGGAAGGGACCTCTAGAGATCATCTAGTCCAACCCCCCTGCACACACACAGTCAGCTAGAGCACATGGCTGCATCCAGGCGGCTTTGGAAGATCTCCAGGGAAGGAGACTCCACAACCTGCCTAGGCAGCCTGTGCCAGGGCTCTGTCACCCTCACTGTTAAGAAATGTTTCCTCAAGTTCCTGTGGAACTTTTGGTGCYTCAGCTTGTGGCCGTTTCCTCTAGTCCTGTCACTGGCGACCACTGAAAAGAGGCCGCCCCCTCCTCCTCACTGCCTCCCTCGAGGTATTTGTATACCCTGAGGTATTTATATACACCTATCCTTAGAAATTTAATGTCAGGTAAGAATGTGTTTGAGAACTTAATCAGTTTAAGTATCAGCATGTAGGAAACAATTTGTTCTTGGAAGATTCCCTCTAATCAAAGGGCTTTATCATTAAGGAAACATCAAGTCCTATGAACTCCATTGGCTGAAGGCATTTTGTATTTTGAAATATAACCTGAGGAAGCCTCAGTTATGAAATAGAGCTGTAATCTGGGCTAGTTTTTAATGTACCATGAGCTGATGGGAGTGTTCTGTGAAAAATCACACTCCTGGTGCTGGAAGGGCCAAGACCCACTGGTGGTTGTGCTGAGCGTGGCAGGGTCCTGTGAGCTGGCAGGCTGCATGAAAAGAAAGTCTTTTTCCCTGGGTCTTTGCTTACCTTAAAACCTCAGGTAATTGGTAGAAGTAATTAACGTTTTGGGCTGCTTCTAAGCAGGGCTCCGTGTTAATCCAAATGTTCCGTAAACCTTCACTGCGTGTCGGTGATTCAAATTATCTCCATCCTCAGAGTATGAAGAAACGGTGATGTCGCTCTTCGACTGCGGCCTGTTTGAAAACATCCTGACAAATATTCATTCAGGTGTGTGAAACAAGCTCGTTAGCAGCACTGTGCCCTGGGGCCGTGTTGTTGCTTTTCAGGTTTTTTGGTTTCTCCTTTTGGGAGGGAGGGCATTCAAGTTATTGTGCTGAGGATTTTGATAACACGATCACTTAAAATTAGACTTCCAGAGAACTTTTTCTKGCTGTTACATAAATTACTGAGGAGAAGCCATCGATACCTGCATCTTTAGAAATAGAGTTTGGCTACATAGAGGGAGAGGCAGGTCAGCCTTGAGGGTCCGCAAGGTCTCTGCTACACAAGACCGAAGGTTCTGCGCGGGGAGGCCTCTCTGCAGCCTCCCTTCCGCACCGGCTCCCCGAGAAACTCTGCTCCTTCCCTGTGACCACTGCTCACSCTGGCTGCTCCGGGTGGAAGGAACCTCTGGGGCAGGGACTTTGGTCTCTGCTAGTGCAAGCAACAAGGTTAATATTTTCTTTTTATTTTCAGTTAAGCAGCAGATCTCTTGCTCACATTTGTCTTAAATAGTTAGCAACTTTATTCTCAGTTCTGCTTTAATTTCTTCATGACGACAGGGAACTGGGTGTAAAACAGCTAACCCTGAGGCTGCTGCCTTACGTGCTCCTGCCTTATGTTTGCTGCTCCTCCTTTCCATCTCTCCTGCTGTCTTTAAAGGGGACTAACAACCAGCTTGTCCTTTAGCCTTCCCATCCCTAGAAGGGACAAGCTGGGAACCTCTCTCCACATTCCAATTCCTGTCCCAGGAATGGGKGTGAATTACCTAGGCAGGGTGCCTTTAATACCATACACAACAGAGTGGCCCTCATGCAGCTCTGCTCCTTGCAGCTCAGGGGAGGCAACTTGGATCATAGTTATTCCTTTCACAGCTGCATCCATTAGTCCCTCCCCTTCTCAGCTTAAGGGAGGAATTCTTGGTATGGGCGGCCTCGTACCCAGCTCCTGTGCTCCCCARGGCGCTGCTGCGCTGCGAGCGTCGTACCCCATTGCCCAGGCCCTGCTTCAGGCACGTGGCTCCCTGCGCTGCAGGCGTCTTCCCTGCCGCCCCGAGCCACCATCCTGCCCGCACTTGTCCTGGCAGGGGCAGCAATGGAAGGATGCAGCGAGGCTGGTTTCAGGACTGATCCAAGAGGAGCTCTGCTCCTGAAATGGTCGAAGAGGACTAAGTGCCATGTGGTAGCTGCCAGTGAAGCTGCAGGGATAGAAGTCGCTGATCTTTTGTCACCATCGAGCTGGCAAGCTCTTAGCTACCACTTCTGCATGACAATGTATGAAATGTTTATATAGAGTCCAGAACTACTGAAGCCTGTATTTTCTTTTTCTCGGAATCAGGCACTTCGAGCCACCTGAGCTTTACCTTTAATCCACTTTTCATTGTATTCTTCCTTCCCCATATTTTTGATCTTCTAAAGCCTGATGCATCMGTACAGAAAGACCCCCTCTACAAACTGTGGGTGTTAAAATGGTGTTTCCAAATGCTTTCTGGTGTAGGTCTTAAACAGTGCCTTTGCTATGCAGTTTTACARCAAACTTGCTGCATTAAAATACTGCACATGGGAACCTGCAGATACCACAGTGGATTTGGGAATTCTAGGTTGGAGAGCCTGGTTTTCTTCCTCCAAAATAAAACAGACTTCCTTCTAGTTTTGCTTCACACAAAGGGGCTCATTTGGCCTCACGAAAGGCAGGCACATACCCAAGACCAGGAGCTTGGCCACAGTACGAGCAGGTAACTCGGTGTTAGTTAACCCAGGTATGTTRCCTAGGCAGGAAAGCTAGAGTGCGAGAATGGAGCTGTTGAATTCAGCTCTCCAACTCTTTTCCTGTTTAAAAAAAATTGTTATAAAAAATCCAGTAGGTTTCTGAACTTGCTCCAAACATCTCCCTCAAATAAGTTATTTTTTAACATTTAAAATAAATCTTTAGCAGAGGCATTCCCATCCGAAAGGATTCTGGAAGTGGAACACTTAAGGCTTATTTACAAAAATAACATAGTTACTAATTTATACATGGGTTTTGTTAGTTCAAGTGAGATGTGTAATGGAGCTGGTCTTGAGAAGTGGGAGCTCAGTCTGAAGGAAGGAGAGGGTGAGACCAGCCTAAGCTTTGGTCTTCTCAGTCCAGCTCTGAGCAGAGCACCAAAGCAGCAGTGTCTGGCTAAGGGCTCTGCTGCAGGGAAGGGGAGGTTTTATGGTRGACTAAACTGTTGGCGACTTGTGCACCCTCAGTGTTTATGCACCGCTAATATTAACACTGGATACTAATTACACACTCTTAAGAATTTATATCCTTCCCCTTTGTACCACAGGGACAGAAGAAAAAATCCAGGAACTTCTGGAAACCAGGAAAAGACTGGATAACCAGATTGAGCTGCTGCAAGACATAAAGGACGTAGCCCTGCCCAACCAGGAGAGCCCTGCTAGCACATCCAGTACCGCGTCCGATTAACCCCCAAGCACTAGTCAGAGTTCTCTGATGCTAGAAACCCTAGAGCACGTCTGGTGAGTGTCGGTGATTTTCTTTTTTTCCCCAAGGATAGGGACACAAGAAACCAGGTTTTACTCATTTTTATACCTCACTGTTGCAATAATTTTAAGTTGTTCCTTTATTTTTTACTGTGGATCAATGAGTGTTAGACACTTAATTTAAGCTTTTTTTTTAAAAGCTGAACAAAGCCCTCCAATGCAGATTTTCTTTTTTCCCTTCCCCAAGAGAAGGGAGCCAGAGCTACCCCAGAAGCCCTTTTTTAAGGTCACTTTAGGTGAGGCAGCCTCCTTCAGCTCATGCAAGGGAGCTGCTTCCCTGGCTCTGTGCAGACTGTGGTGCTTGCAGAAGCTGCTTTGGCTTTCCAAAGAAGACAAATGAGCAGAACTTGCACTCGGAGAAACCTTTGGAATTATGAACAGGAGCTTGTGGGTTTTTTAATTGATTTCTTCCTTCACAATATCAAGTATCTAACTAGTTCTGCTGCGGGAGCAGTGGTGAAACAGTGAGTACAGGCAGAGAGGAAGCTCTAGGGCCCCTCTTGCTACCGTGGCCCCTGTCAAATGGTATCGGACAAGGGACCACAGTCTCCTTTCTCCAAGGAGGAAAGGATGGGACTTCCACATCTTCTGTCTTCAAGGTGACTCTATTGAAATTGCTTGAACACAGAAAAACATTGTTTAGCTACAAAACTGTAAGTTAATTAATTAAAATGTTTTTAAGAAAATGGTGTCCTGAGTAGTTGCCACTATTTCAAGTGTTGGGGGGCTGCCCTGGTTACCTGGCCCTGCGCAGTCGGGGGCAGAGGCAGCAGCCGCTCTTGCTCTTCAGCAGCTGAACTGCCCCAGGCAGCAGCCCTCGTGGTGCCCCCTTCGTGGGGGGCAGCTCTACCTCACCAGCCACTTAGGTGACAGGTTCCAGTCAAAATATATATTTTGTGTGTGTGTGTGTGTGTGTAACTGAAAGTAGATGTGCCCTTAGGACACCTGTGGAAGCATCTTCTCTGAGGCAGAAGTCTTCTGGCCAAATAATCTTGATGAAACCCCCCTGTCTAAGCCCTGGAAAAGTTAACAACCCCAAGAAAAAGACACTTAACACCAGCTGAATTCAAGTTTCAAACTTAAAATTGCTGTATTCGCAATGAAGGAATGACTCCAAGTGCACAGTAACAACCTCAGTGTTTTAAAGAATACACCCCCCAAGCCTAGTAAAGGGAAGAGAGAAGATAGTCACTGACATCAAAATCAGCACCTAGGAATAAATGCTTTTCTGCTGCTTTGCTTCCTAAAATTTGTCAAGAACAGTAAGGCGTTTTACCAGAAGCTTGAGATTTTTTTCCAAGGCAAAAGAAGTTGGCTAGTACATAAGTACAAAACAGAAAATTTTATTACATGTAATTTAAGTTTATACAATACTTGAGTGCAAAAAAAAAGAAGAAAAAACACASCCTGAAGTACACGCACACACTTCCAAAGCAGCCCATCCCTGCCCTCCAGGGCTACCAACTTAACCTGATGTCACCAGAGGTAAGTCCTTCCTTAGCCATTATAAATATTGCTGTACAGCTTACACAAAGTACACACTTCTACTTACATTAAGGAACACTCAGAGCACTTTACTGCCTGTTAGTTGCTCCTTTCTTGGCCATCACTTGCTTTGAGGATACATTATTATTTCTGCACCCGTGAAGCGCCGAGATACACGTGATTAATTGCAAATGGCAACATCGTTCACCAGGATGCGGCTGCATGAAGAGAGCACCGGGCCCTCCACTTGGCCGGGATCCCGGGGAGTTAATGGGTACGTGACAGCGTTCTGTGGCTCAGGCGGGACTGCCAAAAGGCCAGGACTAGATTTCAATTATTGACAGTGCTAGAATCGAGACTTCCTAGCCTGAGAAGTCCTCAACACCACTTGGTGTCATCTGCATGCTGCAATTTTTCCCCCCTCCCCTTGAAGTCCTGAGCTGCTTCCACCAGCCTGAGTTGCTAAACGCAAGCGGGGATGTTGCTTGGGGTTTGGAGTTGGGCATTTGGGGAGGGGCRGTTCGCTCTTTCTTGAGCACACAAGACATTTGCTTTTGGCTTTATACAGACCTTCACATCCTCCGAGACAGGAGCCCAGCTGTGCTTTACCCGCACGCTTCTGCCAGCCTCTTGCCCCAGGCCAAGTGCAAGAAGATGCCTGCAGTCACCCAAAACGTACAGCCCCTTGCTTCAGTTCTTAAAGGCTCCACATTTACTGGCTTTAGCAATGAATTCCTTTAGCAGAGGACCATCCATTTGCCAAAATGCTGCAGTTTGTGTCACTTCTGTCAAGTGATTGACACAAAACTTAAAGCAGAATTCTTCGAGATCCTAGAAAGGAAAAGAAAAGGTTATTATTGTCACTTCCCTCACAGAGCCTTGCATTCAGAGGCAGCACAAATGTCTTTATAGGCTTTACGTTTAGTGCCACTAACAGCAAAGAAGTGGCCAAATACATTAATCGAGTGGCTCCCAGCCTTCCCCTACAGTGTGACTGTGTAAATGCTGCAGACAAGAATAATGACACGGCCACAAGGAAGACTAACCCTAATTTGGTTCTCGAGGTACAGCTGCAGCCATATACATTGCTCAAAAGAGTGTGTTTTTACAAGTTTTATCTGACCTACAAATCCACTAAGTGGTAAGTCTAGCTCTTAGCATCTTCATCTGCCTTTGCTGACAGCTACTGAGCCCCGGACASATAGGAAATCTGGAAATTTAGCCAGGACAGCACCATATGGAAGTTAAGCTCTTCCCGTCTCCGTTATGGTCTCAGTGGGCACACAGGCTGCTTTCCTGCATCCTTGCTGGCTCAGCCAGAGCTCGGAAGCTGCGTGCCGTGGCTTTCCGTGCACGTGTGCTACCTCACTGCCTTTGTAAAGCAAAGCTTGGGCAAAAGGCCTTTCCCTGCACTAGAAACAGGTTTTATTTTTTTATTTTTAAGGGTTCTGGATATCTGAGACTACTCGGAAGTGCCTCCCATTTAAGGATTAGAAGGAGAACCTGAGATACCCATCATTGCACCCACACCACAGAACATCTAAAAACCAACGAGGCAGGGATCAATGTAACACTGACCACTGAATTGCTTCCTAGTCAATCAGCTGTGTTTCTAACTCTTCTTTTGAAAGGAAATCGTGCTCCCCCGGCACAGCACTAAGCTGCTGTGAGGAGGAGGATGCAGCCCTCACCAAGTAGCACCTCTCTCCCACCCTGCTCTATTTTCGGTGCTTTACAACGCCATAGTACTAGTACTTCATACGTAAGCACAGACCCTTCCTTAGTTGCTCAGCAGACTGGGTGCTGACAAGTGCTCGTATTTTCACTTAAGGTCAACACTGAAAGCTAGCTCAGCTGTGTGCCAGTGAGTTCTTGACACAAGAGCAATACAAAAATAGGTCCTGGCCTAAAACCAGGCTTTCTGAAGCTGCAGATCTTGGCTTGGGTAGCATCTGTGCAATGAAAAAAGACAAGCTCATTAGAACTTAGCACTGAGAGGTTTTAAGTAACAGAATCTATCAGGACTATCACTTTAAATAAAATTACATCATACACATTACAATATTTTACACTTTTATTAAAAAATATATATTCCAATTCAACGCATCAGAAGCATACAAACAGTAATACTGTGTCATTAGTATGAAACTTTGGAAAGATTGAAGTTTTGTATTGAGAAAAAGCTGAATTTCACTTCATTTACACTTCAAGCAAAACTTAGTGAAGAATTAAGTGCTAAAGGCACAAGGTGCTTCCAATGCTTATTTGCAAGYCACACTGCTGAAAGCCAGGCCTGAACTGAGTCCAGCCCTTTGCATTCAGTTGGTCGCTAAAGGAAGGTCTAGCAGAGCTTCACGCCACGGCAGTGAGCCTGGAAGCGAGTGAGGCGGCTTCTTTGGACTCGTCCTCCAGGCAGTGCCAGGGGCCAATAACTGCATCACCCGAACCCTCCCCAACCCTGCCCTGACCTTACTGCACGTTAAATGTTTACCAAGAGCAACCCTTTCTCCTTGACWTAGGATTTAAGCCTACCATTGGGAAGGCTTCTCATTCCAGTTAGTTAGTAGTAACAAAGAATAGAAGAATAACTGGATTATTCTACTTTTTGTAAGTMAAGTCAATCACACGCTGAGGATTATTCTGCAAATAATCACTTCAAGCTAAAAYATGAAAAGACCTTCATATTTTCTATGAATTCCCACGAGGAATGTTGCTCACAAGGGAGCTGAGGCCGTGGTTGAAGCACCAACCCCGCCATTCAGGTAACATCCATCCAGCAAGCACCACACCGCAAGGCCCAGGAATAAGGCAACTGCATGCATATTGCTGGGCATTAAGCACAAATCTTCACCTTTTAATTAAGGAAGTGCAAGAAAAAGCACTGAGTTGATCTACCGAGTACCAAAAGCCTTTAATACGGGTAAAGAGCAAGTCAAAAACTAGCTGGTCACAAAGCTGCACGTACGACATGCAGGTAACTATTCCAAACAGAGCCAAAGAAAGCCTGGGAATCCTTCTGGACTAGGTCCTAGGGCAGCATGTTAGTGAACTGGCAGTAAAGAATGAGACTTACAGAGGGAGAAAATTCCACAAGCCCTCCCTTTTCCACAGTAGTTCTCTGGCTTTGAAGCACATTAAGCCCGTAAGGCAGTAAAGAATGAGACTTATAGAGGGAGAAAATTCCACAAGCCCTCCCTTTTCCACAGTAGTTCTCTGGCTTTGAAGCACATTAAGCCCGTAAGGCAGCGCTCATCCTGCACTAGAAATGCAAAGCCTGCAAGCAGATCTGACTGCAGGTACCTGTTCACAACAGCAGCAACCACCACTTACCAGAACAGCCCCACCCAAAATACCTAAGCCCACAACCATAYCACACTTTACAACCCAAACCTTACAAAAAAGATAAATTTGGGATTACAACCCAAACCTTACAGGAGCTGCTTCTCAGAATGTGATGATTTTCCTATGTTTTTAAATACTACTCTTGTTAATGTTTTTTTCTTTTCTTTTTCAAATCACGCTTTCTTCCATATAAATAAAAAWTCACGAAGCTCGGCAGACTGCCATAATGTTTAACCATGAATTAAGCAAAATAAATATTTATAAATCCCAARTCTCAGCCTGGGACTCAGGTCATCTTTAGATCCCTATACACTATTTCCCCGCTGCAGTACAGGTTCATAAAACATCCTGCTTTCAAGCCAAGTACAGTTCCTGCAAGCCCAATGGCAACATTCTCCAACTGTGACAAGAGCAAAGTGATTCCAAGATAGGACAGGAATGGATGCTTCTCTTTACAGCTCRGATCAGAAAGCAGCCCCCTATTTAGAGACCAAATTTTAGAAGTTTACCTCTGCATCATATCTGACAGCAGCAGAGAGCAACGAGAAGGCGTTTTCCACGGTGATTCCTCTCTTGATAATGTGCTGACATAGTTTTTTCAGTCTGTTTTCACAATAAGAAGTAGCCAAATCCAGAAGCCCTGCAACCGAAACGCGATCAATATTAGCCCCTTGCAATCACCATCCCTTCGAAGAGCAGCGTGTGCTCCTGGGCTACAGGCTGCACCTCTGTGTTCTRTGCATGGGGGTCACTATAGAGCAAAGCCTATTTCACTGTTTCACAGGGAAAAAAAAGGCCATTTACTAAGGCAAGCTGCAATCCTGTTAATCTCTGTAGATGTACAAGCTGTTCCCTCGATCTGCCTACCTAATTGTTTGCAGGACAACTGTTGCAAAGCGGGTACATCACACGAGTCAAAACCTTCACTATTAAAAAAATCCACCCTTGAATCACAGCTTGCTCTTTGCTCCGCTGCCCACGCTCTATTACATCTACCGGGATTTTTTTCATATTATCCTAACCAATAACTGATTTATTAAAATATCTGCATATTTTACTAAGAGAAATACAGATTCCCCTTCACCTTTGAGGGACTCACAGTTTATGCACTACTTTTTGCAGTAGTAAGCTGGCTACAGCAGTATTTTTCAAACAACTTTATTAATCCCCAATAAACTTCTTATGGGCTGGACTAGAAGCCTCCATGTATACATTTACTCTGCAGCCCTCTTCCCAGTCTCCCTGGCTCCTGCTTTCTACAATAGTGGGACCAGCAGCGATACCGATAGCGTCCTCGGGCGGGAGGTCCACACTGTCTGTGTACAGGTACTCCAGGAAGGCTCGGTACACGGGGTAAGAGAACTGGTCTATTTCTATCACCTCCTTCATGTCCTCATTCCAGTAGGACTGGAACATGGTTCTGAAGTGTTCACACCTAGAAGGCAAACACATAACCAGGAGTCCTGATTTTTGTATATAGAGTCTTTCTATTTCTTTAGTTACAGATGTATGCATGAGTGTTATACTACAGTCTTTCTGAAATGTGCAGTTGTTGAAAGCTCTTTCCCTCAGCCCATCATGATTAGTGATCCACATCCTGGGTCCTGCYGTTGTACACATTACACTTGTGCACCAGCAAGAACCCCTTATTTGAGCTACGCTACAGAAATGTCTGTGCAATCACACCAGCTGAGCAGAACTTAYTTTCTAAGAACAACGTGTAGGCTTAGCGAAAATTGGTTACGGGTTATTTTAAGACCGAGTTTAGATCCTCCCCTCTTTCGTTCTCCCCTCCCCTTAGGTGTGATGCCAACAGGTAATTTGGGATAAGCAAGAGCTACGGAAGATGAGCACTACCTGATCTTCAGGACAGCTTTGTGAACGTGAATGTACTTCCCATCCACRCGGAACTTCAGGTCTGAGGTTTCTGGGCTGTCAAACTCTTTCTTCAGAGACTCGGCTACTGTTAGAAAGTCTTCATGCTCTAAAAGAACAGTTTTTAGAATCAAAGAGCACATTAGACGTCTTAAATGGACACTCACAATGCTGTGGGCAATGGGAGCTGGGCAGTTAACAGCAAAATGGGTCTGGATCAGAAGTCTGGGCCAGCAGCAGGTCTCAAAGAWGCTCCTGCTGACAGCGGGAGGCTGATGCTTGAGGCATCACCTACAAGCCACCCAACAGAGTGCATGGTGCATCAGTCCCRCTAATGTGACCTGAAGAAGAAACCTGTCACCCACTGGGCACGTTTCTGGGCTGGCTGGTCGGCTGTAGTCTCCAGGTTGTCAGTTCACAGCTTTGCTGGGCTGATGTAACAGCATCCTCAGCATTTCATGTTAATTCAGTTTATCAGCTAATTCCAACAGCACAAAACTCAATAGCAGTGCTAGAAGCCAACGGACCAGGACTGTGGTGTCTACTACCCAGGACACAACAGTTCAGCACCTTTGGAAAGGACTAAAGCCGAGATCTCCCTGCCCTTGACAGGGCTCAGAAAGGCCTAGGATCCAGGTCCTACAGTAGCTCCATCATCTCTCTCTCCAGCACAAGTAGGCCAAGACTTGTGGTAAAGCAAGAACCATGAAGTTTCAGGAAACCTAACTATAATCCACTGTTTGAAGCTCCAGTTCATATAATTCACAAGTGTTTTAAAACATGTGGTTCCTAAGAAGCAAAAYATATTTTTAAAAAAGGTTTTCTACTATTATGGAAGAAGAGCTGTCTCCTGTATCCTATATGACTGTTACTCAACTGCTTACTTTCTAATCATCATTAGAGACAGCTAATTAGTTGGTATGCTATACAACCCTCCTTCTCAGCAAGCTGCCCTAAAAGACGAGTTATGCTCATGCCTCCAAAGACCATGAATTCTTGGTTTTCCCTGATTTACATGGATTGCACCAAGAATCTGCATCTCAGAAGGGCTAACTAGATCAGGCTCTAATCCCCCCTGCACTCGTCCATGGGATTTGCTTTCTGGGTCACCAGCTGAGCTCAAGCCACGCTGGAGATCAACTTTCACTCCAAGCCCCTTAAGCACAACAAGGACTGCAGATCCGAACTTTCCCACAGACAATCCCGAGTGCCTCATCCTGGTTTTGGCAGAGCCACCGTAACTGGAAATGGAACAATAACCATTGCGTAGAGTTAGCTCTCACTAAGAAAGAAACATAATTTTTAACCYATATAAATAAAAAGGTGTGGAAGGGAAAARAATACTTAGMAGGGACATTAAAKATGCCTTCAGAAYTAATGCATTAAATATTCTGATAGCYYTACTACTGAATAGAAGGAGGAAAATTCTCATTAGCCTTTGGGGATTAAGATACAGACATAATTCAAAAGTCTTGGTATGCTCTGAGTAGGAAAGCTCCATGAAATTGAGAATTTACTGAAACAGAGGAGACAGCGTCTTAACAGCCTTCACAGCCTCGCGCAAAATGCAAGAGATCTGGACAACTACCAGACCTCTACCAAGGAAAGATTACCATAGATCCCAAAGGAAAGAACGATTAGAGAATGAAGAGAGTGGGATAACTGCAAGACTTGGATTTACCCAGAGGCAGATCATTCCAAGCTAATCTGCTCCCTCTCTGGTAGAATTATTCAGTTTTCCTCTACGGATGAGAAGCTGTTATCAGCACTTCTACAAATGTGATAACAAGCTAAGATGGAGMGTCAGGTTAGGACAGGAATTCTCAGACAGCTACAGGGCTGTCTGAGATCGAACACACCATGGGGAAAGGTGGAGTCTGAAATTGGAGGAACATTATAAGGGATTTCATCCCTCCACAAAACCAATTTTGTACACAGACTAACAAAATTAAGATCTCTTGTCAATACGAAAGTAGATTAGACCTCCTGGACGTTCTTGAGGACTGAAATGTTGATCTAAGGTCAAGTCTAATAAGCATGAAGTGCCGACTATGCAAATTTATAGTGTGTATATAATAAGAACTGGCAGTACAGCACTTGAAGATAACCAAGATGACAGATGACAGRCATGGGTGAAGTAGTTGGTCTCAATGGCAGCACCCCCCCAAGGCAATATATATATTTTTTTAATATATATATTTCTAAATATATAAATATAAGAGAGAGATCTTCAACACAGAAAACAATGACATTACTTGTACATCTACCAGTCTTGAAGATAATCAAACTAAATCAGGCTGAGCAATATTATCTCACAAAAAGGAAACTAGGAATTCTACTTTAGCTTCCTAACATGAAACATAGGACATTTATCCCTTCATATTTGTATTGGGAGTGTAAATACTAGGCAAAGGAAGCTAAGAAACAACACTTGCAATTAGAAGCTGTTAGATATCAAAACACGAGTCMGAAACAGTTGCCCAAACAGGAGCAAATAGTTTTAGGAGCAAAAAGCTACAGTTAATGATTCCAGAGTCCTTCCCAGTTCTAACCTGGGGATCAAACAATATGAATGTGGAAAACGTACAATACTCCCAGTGGAGTCAATGTCTCTAGACCTGTACTGTCAAGCAAATGATCTTGCTAAGGCTGTACCGGATCCTCAGCTGCTGAAGGAGAGTTCCTCCCACCTCCCAACCAAAAAAAAAAAAAATATATATATATATATATATATATATATATATATATTTGAGGTTTAGAGCACTAAAACAACAATTATTCGCTAGAAGAGCGAGGAGAACTGGCAGTTTAGATTAAAAGCAAATACTACCTCTCTCAAAAGCAACATACAGTGCTAATCACCACAAACATATAGAGCCTGTAAATCGAATGCATATTTTACAAGAATATTTACGTGTATTTGGCTCATATAGCCCTGCGTGGAGCATGCGAGCGCTCACCTACGGAGAGCAGGCGCCACATGACGGCGGGGGTGGCGAAGCAGGCGAACACGTCGTCGGTGCAGGCGAAGTGCGTGAGGTGGGGCAGGATCACGGCCTGCCCGCGGCACTGGCCCCACATGAACACCTGGCCGCTCTGCGTCTTGGCGGCCGACGTGTGCGTGGAGTGGCACGCGGCGATCTCCACCACCCTGCGAGCGGAAAGAAACCCTTGCAAGACTCTTACAATCACCTGCCAAGGCCCCGCCAAAGTAACCCCTGGGCAGACTACGTATCGGTTCTCCTGCCGGGCTTTTTTCGTCTGCAGGAAGAGGATTCTGCTTGAATTGATCAATATAAAGATCTGCAATGATAGAATTGAAGCAATATCTAACTACGATCTATCCAAAGTTCCTGAAAATATTTCTATAAGTTCTTTCASACAGATTTTATAAAGATTCTTGCATTTCACAGTTGAAAGTTTTGCTAGAAAATACCCAGGGAGTTCACTAAGAAACCMCTTCAACTCTGCTTCAATCTGGTTTTGCATATAGACTGAGTTCTGACCTAATGTCTTCATTTTTGATATCATGTCTTGCTCTTTGCTTCCCTTCTTCAATACTGGAGCTCAGTTTGAAACACAGCTCTCTTACAGAGAGTACATTATTAGAGGTTAGGTGAACGTGCCAGCTTAAAACCCCAGCTATGGCTGGTTTTTAAATGAAATTCTACAAGAGGGCTGAAAATACTGTATAGACCTTAGAATACTCCAGTTGCTGATACACACTTMTCTATTTCATTCTCACTAATCTGACTGTGTTATTTGAAGTGTTAGAGGAACCAAGAAGGAACACTCCCATTAAAAGCACTGCAAGGACATTTCCAGTATCTGTGTTTAAATAAGCAAAAATTAGAGGAAGTTCCAGACTTGGTTGAAAACAAAAGCTCTGCTTTTCCAAAATCYCCCCATGCTAACATGTATCAGAAGACTTCATTAAATAAGTTAAAAAGCAGAGAAGTGAGAAGAAAAATCATTAGTTGGGACAAATAAAAATCTTTTCAAAGAGCTTAATACCCCCAAGCATTTTGTCATTTACTTGAAAGGCTAACTGTACACCCACATTGCTAGGCAAAACACAGAACCCCTATTTTAGGTTCCAAACTTCTTTCAACATAAACCACTAAAAGGGGGCTTCCACCCCCTGTGCAGTAATTTGGAGCAAATCAAATACTAAGGGCATATATTAGAGCAGCAGCAGCTTAGGCAGCTCTGGGTGGTGCGAAGATCTCTCAGCAGACATGGGACACCAGTAAGCAATTGTTTCAAGGTTCTTCCAGCCACATCTAGTCTCCAGATAGCTTCTTGTCACAGTATCTGATTATTCAAGTATTATAGCCCAAAAGCTTTGGCTGCAGGATGTCAAAGTCTTCACAATCCCTCAAATACACTGTTTCTGCCTTTATTTGCTGAGAAATTAAGAATTTAATTTCTGTTCATGTCCTAACAACTTTCAATTATAGCTCCAGTAGTAGCTAACATTTCCTCCCCAAACTGCCTTTTATTCACAGAATAGATCCTTCCTTTTAGGACAGCCATACTCTTTTATATATACATATAGTAAAAATATAGTAAAAATATATATAATACTTTCATAACCATACCTCTAAACTATTGTCAGATAAAGTCTAAAAGCCCTTATAAGCTGTAGGTGCAAGATTCTTGAAGACAGTAAGAAATGCCACCTCCCAAGGAGCTTTCAGCAGCATTGCATATAAATACCACAAGAATTACATGAATGAAAGGAGCAGTGAGGGAAGCATAAACGYGCCCCATGTGCAGCAGAGCTTCTGCCCTGGCTCCAAGGGGAGCAAGGCGAGCAAGATGAGGGAGCTCAAACTGCTTCTCTTGCTCCTAGATTCCAAGCAGAAGTTGTAGGGTATGTACTCCCTCCTTTTTTAGGCATTGAACAAATGCCAGCTTTACTATAACCCCACACTCTGTTTGTGTACACTTGTAAATGCAAAGTTGCCCTCAACTCACTTGAAAAATAAATTACTAAGGAAATAAAGTCTGTTACAAGCATTTACATTTCCCTTCTGGTACCTTAATAAATCAGCAGTTTTTTCATTTCATGGTAAGAAACRGGACAAAAAAATAGGAATGATGTTTCTGAAATACAATTTAGATCTATAAAATGATAGCTTTTATACCCAAATGGTGCAGGAAATGGAGGATGAAATTATCCCTCACCTGACTTACAAGTTAAGAGATTTCCAAACAGATACACATTAATCTACAGGCAAGCACATGGCTCTGGAGAATGGGACTAAGATCTTCAAGGCTGCAGGTGAATAGTGCAAATATCACAGGATTTGGGTTCCAAATATTATGACAAAAAAAGGTGCTGGAAATGTTGTGTTGAACAAGAGTCAGGGTGGATCTCTCATGGGTCAGGAGAATACAGAYGTTATTTAACTACGACCTGGTGCCACCACCAGCAGTGGGAACAGCTGCCGTTAGCTCTAGCTACCTTGCAGACCAGGTCTTGTTTGTGCTGACCTCAAAATTGATCTTTCCTCACATACCTCCAAAAGAGGGACTCTTTGCGGGGGTGGGGKTTTTTTTTGGTGTTTTWTTTTTTAAATGTAGATCTCTTAAAAGCTTGGTATGGTGACTTGATAGTGCTACACTTTTGATGAAAGGAATCAGATTTAGAATAACTTAATATTTAGCCATTCGTTATCTTTCAAACACAAGCAAGCAAGGATACATTTACTTTCAATGGCCAACACAGATCAGAAAAGCACTCAGTCTGAAGCACACAGAAAACACCATCTGCTCTTATGCTTTTAATATCAGCAATACAAAAAYAATCCACCAAGCCCAAATATACACACTTCTAATGCTAAAAACTACATAACGTAAGCTCGCACTTGCCAGTCTCAGGAACAAGCTTCAGCAAGATTACCTTTCTTTCTCCATCATGATCTGCACGGGGCTTAGCTGGTTGCTTTTATTGCCAGTTCCCAGCTGCCCATAAGTGTTAGCTCCCCAGGCATACAGCAAACCCTCATCTGTTAGTGCTAGCGTGTGCGCATAGCCACAGGCAATCTGTAAGTAAATGTGTAAGTGTTACTACTAAACAAACGAGAGAGATGAAAAGCAAAATTATTGCACACATTACTTTGTCAAACTCAATGCTCTAAACATCTAGAGGGTCTAACAAAAGTGTTGCATCTCTTGTTTTGCATCTTTAAGTTAGCTATATTCTATGGAAGCCACTTCAGGGAATCCCTAGTCTCTCCTCGCTTTCAACTGCAAATTCCCCAAAGAATGAATTTCATCATCCTATCATGAAACTCTGAAATATTTTGAGAATACTTTGACATACTTTGGTATTTAAAATACTAGCCGAAATCCCAAAGCCAGTGGCCCCTTCAACCTTTTCTAAAAGGGAAGAAACTATGCATAACTGTTCACCCTGAGTTACAAAGTGAACTTCAAAGAAACTTGGAAAATATACAGAAAAGTCCCAATTTTTAGTTTTAATATTTAGCTGTAAACAGAGAGACACTCTCTCACCTCCTGCCCTCCCCCCATATTCTACAAGACTAGGATAAAGTMGAATCCAGTTTGAATTCCAATCTTTTATTGTTTGCATTGATTCCTCCTATTTGCTTAGTTCCTTCAGCTTTGTCATAAAGATGCCATTTATACCAACACAGTTTAGAGTTACACTAGCAAACTTTAAAGTATTCAAGAGACTTACAAAACTAAGTATTTTATTACTTACTTGCACTTCTTTTTTAAATTAGACTAATGTAAATTATTTGCCTGTTATCATAGAATCATACAATCCTTAAGGTTGGAAGAGACCTCTRGAGGTCATCTAGTCTAACCCCCCTGCACATGCAGGGTCACCTAAAACATGTGGCACAGGGCTGTGCCCAAGTGGGTTTGGAAGATCTCCAGAGGAGAYGCCACAACCTCCCTGGGCAGCCTGTTCCAGGGCTCTGTCACCCTCACTGTCAAGAATTTTTTCCTTAAGTTCCTGTGCAACTTTTGGTGCTTCAGCTGGTGGATGTTTCTTCTAGTTCTATCAGTGGCCACCACTGAAAAGAGGCCAGCCCCGTCCTCCTCACTCATACATTTTTAAATTCATCTAACACAAATTATAGGAGCCAAATGAGTTCAATATAGGAACTGTGAATTCTAGACCCATGTATATGTTCTAGATTCCCAATATACAATTTCTGCAGATGTCAAAAATAAGAATGTATTCATGTTTCCAAGTTAGACATACCTGGAGCACACAGACCCCATGTAATGCTGCCACTCTGCATGGTGTGAGCTGATTGCCGTTGTTCCCAAGACCCAGCTGACCATTACCATTGTAGCCCCAGCCATAAACCTGATTKAAAAATCAAAACAAGATTAATAAGATATTTACACGATGTATTATATATATATGATATATGATTGATCATATTCGACTTTTCAATTCTACATTTACTTGCTGAAGCAGCTTTCTGAAATATTTGTCTTTGAACTTACAATACACCAAAAACTCCCACAGCATCAACATCTTTTTTTCCCCCCCCTCTCTCTTCTTCCTTTTTAAAGGAATCAAAGCCTCTTTTCCGGGGGGTGGGAAGCAGAAGAGGGGTTGAGAAAACCCAAGGAAATCATGTACAGTGGAAGTTCATCTCCACCTTAGGATGGCTACAGACTTTCACAACCCTACTCAGGAAATGCTATATTCTGAGCCTGGTGAAAKGTAGTAAAATTGAGGTTATAGTTTTTACCTAGAAGCAAGAGAGCATTGTGAATATCTTACGTAAGACTGAACTGTTAAACAACACCAGGGCAACTTATAAAAGTGGTCTTTGTTTCATTCTGATAGCAGTTAAGTAACATAATCTATTGAAATAATAAAGAAGCACATGCTTAATACAATAGTTCACACACAGATGCAGACTCAGAAATAAAAACAAATTTCTAGAACAATCTTCATAGAATCACAGAAACCTTAAGGTTGGAAGGGACCTCTAAGAGGTCAYCTAGTCCAATCGCTTAGCTCACACAGGGTCACCTAGAGCACATGGCACAGGGTTGCGTCCAAGCAGGTTTGGAAGATCTCAGAAGAGGAGATTCCACAACCTCCCTGGGCAGCCTGTTCCAGGGCTCTGGCACCCTCACTATGAAGATTTTTTTCCTACAGTTCGTGTGGAACTTTGGGTGCTTCAGTTTGTGGCTGCTTCCGCTAGTTCTATTGCTGGCCACCACTGAAAAGAGGCCGCCCCCTCCTCCTCACTGCCTCCCTTGAGGGATTTATACACACTGATCAGGTCCCCCCTCAGCCTCCTCTTCTCCAGGCTGAACAGGCCCAGCTCTCAGCCTTTGCTCATAGGGCAGATGTTCCAGGCCTCTGATCATCCTCGTAGCCCTGCGCTGGACTCTCTCCAGCAGCTCCACATCCCTCTTGTCCTGGGGAGCCCAGAACTGGACACAGTGCTCCAGATGTGGTCTCACTAGGGCTGCGCAAAGGAGGACAATCACCTCCCTCCACCTGCTGGAGACGCTCTTCTTAATGCACCCCAGGATCCCATTCAYCTTCTTGGCCACCAGGGCACACTGCTGCCTCATGGTCAACTTGTCCTCCACCATGACGCCCAGTTCCCTCTCTACAGGGCTGCTCTCCAGAAGGTCAGTCCCCAGCCTGTACTGGTGGTCTTTGCAGTAAGAAAGAGTAACTTTATTTTAAAGAAGATAATTCCAACTAACTATATTTTTTTCCTTAAGTTAGTTCTACAGTAGCTATCAACACATGCTCTATACCCCAAATCCTTTTCCATGTTTCCTTTTTCTCTTAAGCCAGAGACTGAGACTGAACAACAGAGACTGAAGAGGAGGAAGCTGCAATACTTACCTCACCATTGTTTACTACAGCCATGGAGGATGTCTGACCACAAGCAATGCCAACTACCGTTTTACCCTGTAAACAGTTTGAAACTCTACGAGGAGTTGGCTGGTTTGCTGTAGATCCAGATCCAACTTGACCACAGTTGTTATAGCCCCAAGCATATAGCTGTCCATTAAGAAAAAACAAAACAAACAAGATAACTGCAGTTTAATCCTTCAAAATAGGAAGGACAACTTTTCRACATACTGTTAGGATGAAGGTGGGTAAGCTATTTAAGTAGCTGAAATACTTTTAACTAATTTTAAACAACTGAAAACTATATACAGCAACAAGTCTGACCTAGCAAATACAATTATTTTCAGCTTTTTTCTACAAAACTGGAACACGTGGCTGAACTCAACAGATGGAATATAWTTCCATACTCAAATATAAAMTTGAAAATAAGACACAGAGCTTAGYGAATAAACTTTCTTTATCCTTTCATGATGTTGTAAAAACAAACACGAGCAAAGAAGTTATTTGTTTCACAGACTTGCTGAACGTCCCCTTTTGAAGCTGTTCAGAGACTTCAAAACAAGCTTATAGCTGGACAGTCACCATACTTCCTTTTACATCTACCAGAAACTGTGAAAGGGGATATTTAATCAACCACGTTTTGCAGCAGCAAAAAAGCTTGTCGATAGTTCAAAGCCTGTCAGTGAAAAACAGCTAACAATACAGAGAAATATTGGTCGTTTTCATCCAACAGTCCAAAAGAGACAGGTACTTGGCCATAAAAACATATGTAGCCTTTAGATTTTCCATTCCTTTAATGTTTCCACTTCATACACAAACCCATAGCTTAACATAATTTTTTCCTGATAATTTATTCTGTGATGCTTCACCCAGTTAAACGTTATCCTGTTGGAAATATCAGCTCCTTCACCAATACGGCACTGACACTCACTAAGAGCACTTTGATTCCCCTTATATGCAGTCTGCACATCCCTTAGTGCCAAAACCAGTCAGTTTACTGTGACACCTAATCAAAAGGCACTAAAAAAGCACTTTACRTGCCAGAAGACAGGTCAAAATGTCAAAGCCAAAAAGTGCCCTCTTTCTCAGGAGTATGAATGCTTGAAACTGTATGCTGTAAATTTTAAAGGTTCTGTAGACACGAGCTCCATTATTATGGGCAAACACTTTGTTCTCTTCTAGGCTTTTCCCTAAATCAGTACGGACTGCAAATGAAGGTAGTGTTTCCTTTCCTTAAGTCCCCCATTAGGATCTCCTTTTCATCTACACTGCATTAAACGTCCACTCAAACAACTGTACAAACCTTACACTTCACTTACAACTTCAATGCCCTTCTGAAACTCCAGTTACACTAAGTCATATGTGTTTCAGCAGCAAAATCTTTCTGTATATAAAACATYACACAACATATTTGACTGCATTCAGTATAATCATTTCTGGTACAATAAAAACCTCAGAGCAACAACTAGCATACTTTGCAGTAACAGTCTAAAGAGAGGTTTTACAGCACATTAATTAGCCACAGTTGCTAACCAGATGCAAATACCTTCTTCATAGAAACAAAGAAGTTTCCTCACTTCTAYCGAGTCTTCCAGCTTGTTACGGTCATTACAGAAAGACAAGGCAGTCGTTGCAGGCAACTACCACACAACATCTAACAGCACTAGTTAAATTAATATATGAACACCCTTGCTTTCCCATATGCAAAGGAAATTTTATAGTTTATCTCAGGCAAAGTTGAAGGTGTGACAAGCTTAGGTTCCTTATACCTCTATATATTATATGGTGGTTTAATACGGTTGAGGATGGAAAAAAATGTGGCTTCCATTTTCATGGTTAGGGAGGCTATGAATCAGAAGCCCTCATTTCTCATGACAGAGCCAAACCAGGCTCTCCCCCATGCAGCTCAGAACCCAAATACACACATAAATCAAACAAGTCTGACCAACTGGTAATCAGCAGTAAACCTGTGACACGTCGCCTTAAGTCATAACAATAAACAGCATCAATCAGGCTTGAGACACAGATCGCGTGCTCTTTCAGTAGCTACACACAGAAGGACTCACCAATTGCCAAAGTAATATTCTTTCATAACGCCAACATGGAAATTGTGAGGACTACAAGAAACATTAAAGGCTAAACCAGCTATATGAACAGTTAAATGCATGCCTTAAATACCAAAACTGCAAAGAATAGCCTTAAGATTTGTGCCTTACAAAGGCTCTACCACTTTTACGTGGCACAGCCTGCTGACGTTACGAGACTTTCAAAAGACATATAAAGTTTACTGCCCCCCCCCCTTTTTTTTTTTGTTTTGTTTTGTTTAGTTGGGGGTGGGTTTGTGGGAGAGTTGTTYCCAAGTCTGCTCTGAAAAAAATGATGCCACGTTTTAAGGCAGCAGGAGGAAAGATTATGCTCTACCTATATGCTGGATAGAGAAAGCTTCATAGCACCAGGTCACCTGCACTGTCCACTTCAAGAAGAAAATTAAGTTTGAACAGGTTTCAACTTACATCCCCATCAAATGATAACGCCATGGAATGATGAGAGCCACAAGCTACTTCCACCACTTTCTTTATTAACAGATTTGTGCAAACTTGAATGGGAGTAATGCCCTGATTGGTTGTGCCATTCCCAAGCTGGCTGTAACCATTATGTCCCCAAGCATAAACTTCACCATCTGCAAAATATTTGTGATAAAATCACTACAAATTCCATAGAAACTGATAGACAATTAGAAAATGAACACATGCAAGTGAAAAGATAACAAACAGTGAGACTATTAGAAGTATTTTCTGTATACTGAATGATTAAATAATGACATTCATTATATATATTATACATATCACATTATGTCCACTAGATTATTTTGGAATTAAGTGCAAGTGCACTGCTAAGACTGTATGTCATGAATGATATAGTAAAACTCCATAGTTATAACTTTAATGAAAAGGAAACTTATTTTATATATTAGGCAAAGCATTTGAGACCAGTGAGAATTCCTGAGTGTTAACTAGTTAACAAATCCATTCACTTGTGCTAGATATCCCTTCTTTTAAAGCCTAAAAAGAAATTAAAATCTGTAGCTTATGATTCCTAGTAAGTGATTATTTTCTACCTTCAGTGGCAAGTACAACATGTGGCCCGCTTCCATAACTGAGACTGGAAATCTTCTTTCCACATAAGGCTTCTAATTTCTTTGGTACGATTGTGCTCTGATTATCTCCAGTTCCCAAACAATTACTGCAATTTAGTCCAAAAACAAACACCTGAAAGACAAARGAATACTCCTTTCAAGACATCTAAATTCAGACACGCAGAGATGTTGTGACATCCAAATCTTCATAAAGCTTGGACAAAGTTTTGCCAATGATTTTTGAAAGCTAATAACTTCGCTCACAGTAGTTAACTGTCTCAAGAGTGAGGATCAGGGCATTGTTTCTGAATCATTATAACCCTCAGATTATTTCCTGCAGTATTCTTATTTAACTGCTATATCCCCATTGTGTGGGATACACACATACAGGGATATGTGTGTATCTTCTTTTACTTAATTTCAAGCCATCACAATTTCAAAAGTGCATATAATCCATGCTGGCCTTTCTCATTTGGAAGTTTTCTAAAAACTATGAATACATTGCCCCACAYAAGATTTTTTCAAAAAATACAAGTTCATCCAACATTTCTATGTTGGTTTTAAAATACATAAATTCACAMATTTATTTGAGAAGCTATTCACTTACAAACACTCTGTGGATGCTGAAAACAACTAATTGTAGAGTATTTGTTCCATTTTACATGGCCTTACCTCATCATTGTGTGTTATATATATAGCCTCATTAGCTGATGTACCAAATACACAGGCTTTTCGAATAGATGATATTTCTTGAGGTGACAGTAAAGTAAATATTGGCCACTTTCCTACATCGACCATGATGCTACTGTATTTCAAGAAGTTCCTATAAGTAAGACGGCATTACTGTAAAGAAAAAACAAAAGTTTATTATAAATTTTTTGTACTTTCAGCAACAGGCAATAATATAATCTCCCTTAAAGACAAGCATTCGTCCCTGAAAATAGAGTATCCTATATGAAATATTTAACTACATTTCTATTACAATGAATAAATAGCAAGTCACTTGTAGACAAATAAAAAGAACAGAAGCTATAACTGTGTGTTCAACTGAAGTTATTTCAATAATACCAAAATGGAAAATATCTGCTGTTCTCTGTGAAAACTTGTTAAGGGCTTATGATTGAGCAAGTATCATCTATTTGATGAAGGAGCAGATTTCTGACAATTAGAACTTATATTTACAAACTTTTGGCCTGTTTAAGCAGTCTTACAACTTACATATACCACCTAATAAAGCAGTTGAAGTATGTACAAATCCTGCAAATAAAAATAAAGCCGGGACTGTTCRGTGTATGAATTAAATTTGTCATCTGTTGGGTAATTAAGAAATCTCTATGGCCTCAACTTAACTCTGAGAACATAAAAGAAAAACTTATGAGCTTGGACAATTAAGTAGTGATGCACCTCAGAGAAAAATAATCAAACAAAACAGCCTTAKGTAGTTACTAAGAAACAAGCTACAACACATTAAAAGCTGGGAACAGATGGACATAGACTTCTCTGTCAGTGAATACAGACACGTACATCCATATTTCCACAATTCCTCTTAAGCAGCTATCTCTGGACAATCACACCAGCTCCAGAATGACACTGATAGTCAACTTAAACCTTCACAAATCATTTAGGATTTCAGTCCTGCACAGAGGAAGTATAACAACACTCCTACTCTGAAGGGATTCTGCCACTGACATTGTATTATCCACGCCCATGGAGTATGAACAATTTCAGTGAAATCTTAAAAGCTCTTGGTGGAGAATACCAAAGAGTCAGTGGWATGATACAAATGACAATGACCTGTTAAAAAGCAAAGGGAAAGTCTCTTTTCAGATGTCCACACTTTTCTTGTTCACATTTTGTTCCTTCCCTTTGCTTTCTATGCTCAGATCCTGCTCCATCCCTCTATCCTTTGTTTTGCTGCATTCACATGAAGGTTCTCACTCCTGGGGCCTGGACGGTAGATTCGAGCCACAAAACCAAAAGAAAGTCCCTTTCCTTTGGCTCCCAGGGMTTGGTTGCCAAAAAAGTTCTGACAACCAAGACAAAACTTTAGAGTGTTCATTCAACACCAGCAGCCAGCTCTAAAATGYAGAATGTTTAATGCAGCTGCACGTTTTTTTTTTGTGTGTGTGTGTGTGTGTTTTATTGTTTTTTATTGTTTTTTAAAGATTTTGAGAAACTTTGCAGTTGTAGAGGAAGTGCTGTGTATTTAAAAGAAAGCAAGAAAAACATACCCCTCCTTCCCCCTCAAAAAAATAAAACCAACCCAAAACATATAACTTGATTTGAGAAACTTTTCAGACAGCTAAAGTATCTTCACACCAAATAATGTAATCCTGCTTCAGCAAACCCAGGTTTGCTCTATAAGCACTCCTCATTAAGAGTAAACTTCCCTCTACACTACAGACTTGAAGCAACTCTTAAAAACATTTTAAGTCTCCAGATGGCAATGCATAATAAATGGGTTCGTAGACCTGTTTTTGAAAATGTACTTAATGCCAGAAACACCTATGTATTGCTCTCTAGACAGCTAAAACAGATCTGAATGCATGCAAGTATTCTTAATTTCTAGTCCAGTTATAAACTCAGAGTAGTTGGCTGATGAGATTTAAATTGCAGGAGTTCTTACCTCACTGTCAAACCTTTTAACATATGACACTACTGATCAATTTAAATGAGATTGAGATGATTTGTTCTCCTAAGCAGAGTAGCTAATCATGCCTTCTGGCTTTACTTGTTTGATTTGCTCTACRTAATATACACTTGGTAGGGCATGAGCATGAACTGGACATTAAAAAAATATAATCACAGGCCCAAAAGGAACACAGTGCCCTTCACTCCACCTTCCTGAACCAGATGAATAAGAAATTAAGTTTGATTATTATTTACTTGTTTCGATAGTCACCTAGAGACACAGACCCCTCCTACATTATATACTATGTAAAGACTATACTTGCACTGGAAAGCTTTTAAGCATAATATAGTAGCAAATGAAGCCCTTAGAGCCTAAAGAGAGGTTATTTTGATCTGCAGAACCAGAAAACAGAAGGAGCAAACATCAGCAATACTTATTCTAACTGCTTTGCTATCTTTGAAATTATCCAATAGCAACAGTATACAAACAGGAACAGAAACAAAGATGATTGTTTGAATCACAGTGATGCTAAAAATAAGCAAGAAAGGATGACTTGTGGAGAAGGAAACTGAACTGGCCGCAAGTGGTGTCAAAAAGAAACTGAACTCAAGAGTCTTCATCAGCACTAAGGCGGAAGAGAATCTAGATCTGTGCAAACCAAAAAATAAAATARAAAAAAAAAACCCAGCTCACTAACTTTAAGAGACTGAAGACCTTCAAAAATTCTGTGCTAAACTGCCACCTATTAATTCAATATCTCACTAACTTGCTTTCCAAAGAAATAATGTACAAGCAGATTACTAGCAGCATGTACATATGCACATATGCTTCCCTGCAAAAAAAAATGTTTACAAAGTGTTTTTAAAATGATTTCAGATAAACTTTTTCACAGCATTTATAGTTCAGCTAAACAAACCCATGCTGGAGAGAACAATGACCTCACACAACATCCTACCAGGAAAACAGTACCAATTGTCCTTGCAACAAAAATACTGTAGTTAACTTCTCAGGGACTTTGCCCTTCTTTGCAAGGATCATTTGAACACAGTTGTAAGGATCATTTGAACACAGTTGTTTCACTTTTTCCTCACGCTCCAATTTTGCAGCTCATTCTACTTGGGCAGACTCTGGCCTGACTAGAAAGAAATTGCTGGCTCAGGCCTGCATTTCTCCTGCTTGTTTAGGGCGATCACAGACACTATTGAGAACAACAAAAGCTGGAAGRTCTGGTTGTAGAGTCACAAGAAGTGATCAGCAGGCCTATTCAGTTTTTCAATTTTAGCTTCCTCAAACAGGAAACAGTCAGACCCTATAGACAGCACTAATCTCACCTGTGTTTTTTTCCAGCTTGTCTCTGCATTTTTAACTCGTATTCCTGCACTGAGGGAAAGAAAAAAAAAAAAARAAAAAAAAATACTATTGACTTTAATCAACTGTGCAAGCTAAGTGTTTCTATTGTGAATTTCCCCCTGCCAACAGAAAGATATTACACTCCATGAAAGTACATGCTATAACTCACTCTTTTAAGACCTTGTCATAAAGCAAGATTTCTACGACAAAACCTGTATGTTCAAAATTCTATATGGGGAGGATTTATTTGTAGATGCCTTTTACAAACAAACCAGGAAAAGGAAAAACTGATGCAGGAGCTGACAGCCAATCCTCGTTATTTGCTTCCAGTAACTGGTTAAGAGATTAAAAAAAGTAAACCACACCATACACACAAATATGATTGAACATAAGACTTTTGCAATTAAATWAACAAACCTAGAAAGATGGTAACAGAAATATAATTACATATATAATATACAACACAAGATATGTATTTAAATCAGCTGAACCATAACCATACCTTATTTGCAATGTACCACTCACTTCAGACAAGTCTTCTAAGTAGCACCAATATCTCAATCTCACTATGTACATAAACATTCAGGAAGACATTTCTGTGAAGCCCCTGCAGACTCACCTACAGGATCTCTTAAACACCGCGTTTCCTAATCAACTTTGTCTCCAAAAACGTTTCCTTAGGATGGCTAGCATCTTTCTCTCATAACTCCACTCCCAGTTTAAGTTCCTGCCAGAGGACAGAAACTCTACCTGTATACTATGTATCAGAAAAAGGGTATCTTTATTTCCTTTATTTCCCCAAAGAATGAGCAAATACCAAGGCCCATCTCTACCCTTCTGCAAAATGCGCCCCATGCCTCTTCGACCTTCCATTTCACACTTCACCACRATATGCTTTCCAAAAGAGGTCATAAAAGAATTGTCTAAAATAAAACCTTAAAATTGTTAAAAAATTAAAACCCTCAATATTTACTTTAAAAGTATATCATGACTCATGCAAATGACARCACATTAAAGGTTAAAGAAGCACTAAATATTGGTATAAAACTCCAGCGAGAAAAATATTGAGTCCCTACTTTTTCAAGAAGCTGGACCTCAGCCTTCAGGAAGCAGCCAACAAAGTGAAAGGTGAGCTGAAAGCCATGAACCAGAAAAGAGCTATTAAGAAGATYCTGTAAGTTATGACAAATCAAAAGAAATGTTTTTGGAGAGTTAGACAAAGTTACATGAAAAACACTCCCAGATAAAACAAACAACAAAAAAAAAGAGCTTCGAGAAGCCACTCGGGTGACAATCGGTAAGCAAGTGCCGCCAGCGCTGCTTAAGCAGGAGGGTATTTTTTCTCACCCGAAAGGGTAAGRTTTGCTGAGGAGCCTCGCAGCCGCTGCCCAGGGCCCGCTCCGCTGCCTGCGCGGGGACCGTTGACTCCAGCTCTCCAGCTGACGACGCGGGGTGAGGGGATGCCCGCCCGGCCACAGCCGCTACCCCGACTCGTGCTCCTCACCCGGCCTCCGCGGCATCCTCCGGAGGCTCCGCCTCGCCACAACGGCCGCTCCCGCTGCTTCCGCGGCAGGGGCAGGCGGGCCAAGGAAGAGCCGCGACCGTTACGGCCGTTGCTGCCGTTACAGCCGTTGCCGCCGCCTCCCCGCACGCGCAGCAAGGCGGGGCTGGGGGAGGAGGAGGAGAGAGAGGACACGTGGCCACGTGACAGCGAGCCCGCCTGCGCGCGCGCGCCCCCTCGTGGCCAATGGCAGGCAGCGCTCCCGCCCTGTTCTCGACGCCTATTGGAGGAGAGAGGGACCACGTGGTCTTCTCCCTTCCCTCCCCCGCCCGGGCGGCTGCGCCCCGCCCCAACGGTCGCCCGCTCGTGAGGCGAGCGGGTGTCGAGGGCTGCGGTGCTGGGGGCGGGCGGCTTGCAGCTGCTGGGGCTAAATTCAGCGAGCTTCTCGGTCCCGCGCTCCCGTAGCGTGGCCTCTGGGCCCCTCTCCCTCTGCAGAATCAAAACGGGATTTACCCATTTTCGAAGGAACTGTTCAAACTTGGAGTCGAACTCCACAGTACTCTCTTGTGTAGAGCTGTGGGGGAGGATCCGGGAAAAGGGAGGTGGGAGAGCAGGCGTCCCTGGAGAGCTCTTTTATTCGGAGAAGCTGTTAGCCAGGAGAAGCTGTTAGCCAGGAAGTGGCTTCCGTTTTCCTTGAGATTTCCTTCTTGTCCTGGGTCATAGAGCAGCCTGCAGCGTTTATAGTGTGTGCAGCACCAACTGGCCTCGAATAGGGAGCAGCAGGGGAGTTCTGGAGAAAGCTGTTTGAAGAGGAGGGGAGAAAGGAGAATCTGCTTTGGCGTGCAGGGAATTACATGGGAGTGGGTTGCTGCCAGAAGGAGTCAGTGAGGCTGAAGAAATCTTGCCATGGAGCACGAGGCAGAAAAAAAAAATACAGGTCCAAGGTGAAAGATTTTCCCCAGCTGATTCCTGTTTGCTGTGCCATTGAGTGACCATTTTAGCTCACAGCAGGAAGAGGCCGGTGAGTATGTTGTGCAGAAAATACATGGGCAAGTGTAGTAGGAGCCTCTGGAAGGGGACCTGCAGTGCCATACGCACCACCCAAGTGTACGCCAGCTGCTTCCCTTTCTGCAGAGCACATTTATTGAGGTCTGAGCCCAGGAAGGAACCACCTGCCTTCCCCAACCTGGCTGGGAAGTGGTGGGGAGGGTGGAGCTGTGTAAACAGGACTTTGATCCTGTTTGGTACTGAAATATAAATCAAAAGCTGCTTATTTATAATATACAGACACCCAGCTGCTTTAACAAGTATTAAAACACAACCCCTAGTCAAGTTTTTTATATTTATTTATTTTACTTAATTTATCTTATTTTTTTATGTGAGGATTAAGTTTCTCATCATAAATTATCAGTGCGGGTAATAAACCCTTAAATACCCTCCAGTAATTGCTGTGTTCCTGATATTCCAAGCTGTGCAAAGGGCTGAAATAGCTAAAAAAAKAATGCAATGGACGGAAATGGCAGAAGTCACTTTATAATCTAGGGAATACTGGTTAGGAGTTTCTGTTCTTTCTCTTTTCCCTTTCAAAAAAAGAAGAGGAAAAAGAGAAGCACCTTTCCCATCAGCTTTTTAAGGTGGGAAGGAATATGAGACCTTAGATCCATCTCAGATACACATAAGAGTGGCTGGAAGGTTCTGAAAGCTGTAAATAATAGTTCAAATGAGMAAAGCAGTGATATTTAGAGGCAAATATTGCTGAGGAAAAGGAACTGCTGCCTGACACGGGGTACAGCAGTCACGTGTGACGCTCTGCTGGCTCTGGTGAGTCAGCCTAGCCCAGAATCTGGCCCTTCTCCTGTTCTCCTGCACGGATTGTCTCAATTTACCCCTTTTCGATAAGCACAGCAGATGACTATGAAGGGCTTTTCTCAAGTGACCAAACTCAAACTCTTCAGGGTATTTATCTTCTCACCATCTTCCCCTTCAGCGTTTTTTTCCCATCGATCCATGGCGCAGAGTCCTGAAATCTGATATGAATCTGGTATGGAAATGATACAGAGCTGAGTATGGGCTGTACAGAGGCAGTATCAAACCCCACTCATGCGCTGTGTAGCTTTCTATAGCCTAACATGAATAGGTGCACAAAATCCAGGCAAACCTGTTTCAAAGTGATCCTGCCATGAGAAGATGCTGTGGGTCTAACTGCTCTATAGGATTCCTAGTCCTATAGTACTCTAAGCAAACCACAGGGCTCTGATTTTGGTCTTTTGACAGGAGCTGTTAGATTTCTCTTGAGACAGCCTCTCCGTCAAGAAATGTATGGAATAGCAGTGACACTCTGTGGTGAGCCCAATAAAATGCAACTTGTTAATACTAATTTTAACAGGTTTTCTCTTGTTTTCATCCTTCTTATTGGAAGGTGTTAAATATCACTCTGTAGTTTGCATTCTTGTTGACAGCATCCAATATTGATGCTTTAAACGCTTAAGCTAAGAATGAAACTACAAACGAGATCAAACAAAACGTTGCATCTGAATGCTAGAATCTGGGAATCATGCAGAATGGGATGGAGCTTTTGGGACTCCCGTTGCTGTGGAATTTGGCGAGGTGTCACAGCCACCTTTTCAGCTACTTACACTGTCATTTCAACATTTCAATCACTTTTTTTTTTTCTTTTTCCCTGCAGAATTGTAACTAGGAAAAGCCCATTAAGGAAAAGCAGAGTTTCCTCCCTACTAACCTAGAGAGGTAAGTATGGTTTCATGAGCTTACCTCCAAGCTTTAATTTTTACATTTTATAGGATTAGCTGATTCAGAAGGTATTACGTGTATTATATATAGTAGAGGCAGGCAGTGAGAACCTTGTGTGTATTATATACAGTGCACGTAAGCAGTGTGATCATGCATCACTGGATAGCCTACGTAGGTTTCTCGTTCTCAAGCACACATTGCACTGTAGCAGCACCCCGGCTAGGAGATGAGAGCATGAAATGATAGGAACTGTGTCCTGCCACAGTTGTGCACACCTGCCTCACTGCCCGGGCCCTATGGGGCCTGTCCCAGTGTCCTGTGAGGGAGCCCCTGCCTGCCCCACAGCCACGCTGAGGATGGACCTGTGGGTCCAGCGTGGGGTCAGCCACGAGGGTGGCCAGGAGCAGGGCCCAGACATTTGCAGCCATATTATGAGAATAATTTGGGTAAGATTTGTGAGGCTGTTTAGAAATTTTAGTTAAAAGGAAATTACTAATCTACAATTCCATTTGGGATTTTAAAATCCATTTTTTTTCTACAGCTTTCATGAAAATAACCCTGTGGTTTCAGTAGCCCTGGGGCTAAACTTTCCCACACCTCTGATCATCCCTTTGACGCAAAGGTCACTGCATATGTGGAGGAATAGGTAGCTCAGAGATGGTACCTATGAGATCATTAACAAAAATTTCTCTGCTGATAAAAGGTGAAGATCAATGTGCAGCTGCCTTGGAAGTTTTTGCCTCCATTCCCTGGATACTTCTGGTAGTTTGGTAGTGTAGTTAAGAGTCACTGCCTTCTCCAGAGCGTTTCTGATGCTGATTTACAGGGACTTGGTTGGAATTAGAGCTGCCAGCTTCCCCGCTCACCTGATTTTCGTGTGTGGCATCACAGCTGCTAAGCCTGACACAGTCATGCTGCGAGTGTCCTGGTTTAAGCCTGAGATGAGATGGGATTATCAGCTATCAGCTCTGTTCTTCTCAGGCCATACTGTAAGGCCATTTTTTTCCTCCTTTCTGTGTCCCTCCCCCCCCCCCCCCCCCCCCCCCCCCCCCCCCCCCCTTCCCTCATGGAGTGCGATCAGAATGGCCTGATAGCTGATGAAGTGAAAAAATCCAGTTACGGAAGTATTTAAGGCTTTGGAGGAGAGAGACTCTATCCTATAATTCTAGTCCTAATAATTCTTCTTTGTGATAAATATTTAGGAAACAGAAATGTATGGATAATAGGCAGCAAGCAAGTAAACTGGATGAAATTCCATGAAAACCTGCTTGGACTGAGCCCCTCCTTGGATCCACTCCTGCAAAGTGTGAGATGTGAAACACGAGGCAAGGGCTCTGCTCACAGAAGAAGGTCGCGGCTTTCCTCGTCTCTGAGCACAGTGAGGGAACTTCTGAGTTATTTAGAAAGGGCCTTTCAGCCCTGGCAATAGACCTGCTCAGTGCTGATCTCATCTGCTTTTACTTTCTTTTCCTTCATTCTTTCTTCAACAGACTTGCAGCTGCACCCCTATATACGTATTGGGGAAAGTTTGCTGTTGTAAYAGAGCTGCGTGTGGAAGAGGCTCTGCCAGGGCCGTTCTGCGCCCCATGTTTGGGTGATAGGTGGGAACAGTAAAGGATCAACAGCCCCTCTGTGGAGCTGCTGGGACTTCTCCAAAAAAAACGCCAAATTGCCTCTCTCATGGCACTCGAAACCTGTTGCTGGCCGCTCATGTCCATGCACTACAATGAAGTCCCCCCACCAAGGGACAGGGCCTCCTTGCTGGGGACCTGCCAGGGCTCGCTGCAGCATCRGGGAATCGCAGCTCACCCACATCTCCCTCATCCTCCTCAAACAGAGGTAGCTGGAGAGCAGGCCTGCACTTTTAGTGAGCAAAAACCAGGTAAACACCAGCCCTCCTGGAGCCCTGCCACCGCCATCGGCCGCTCTCATGCGAGGGTCTCCGGGAGCTTTTTTGTTATTTGTTATAACAAAATGAATTTGTTATTCATTTGTTATTTGTTATTCATTTGAATTTGTTATTCTGGTGGGCAAAGTCCAAGTGGTGCTGCCTAGTCAAACAGTCTGCCTTTCTTTTAATGGGTATTTTTTCCTCTTTTGCCATGGGAGACGGACTTTGCCTCACTCGATAGTTAAGATGTAGTAGAGGCGCGGAGATAAATAATTTTATAGGCTTTCATCCTAGGAAAGGCTTAATTTTTTGGCTGTTGTCTATCAAAGAGACACCAAARCTCACATTTGCGTATATGGTCCATCCAACAGGCACACTAAATGAATGCCAGTGCTACGGATATTATTATTACACTTTCTAAAGTTAAGACCATCTGAAATCCKCAGCTGCTTCGCTGCTGGTTTTACMCATGTGCCCTTGGGCTGCRATTCAGCAAATTCCAGGAGAAAGGCSATTTATTTTGGTGCGTGGCAGGGAGGAAGGCGGCCACAGCGCCGCCCATCCCTTCCGGCAGCCCTTGGCTCTCCCCCACACCCATCACAGGAAACAAATCGAGTTCAGAGGCAGCGAAGCTGCGGCACTCGCACCTCTTCTCTTGCTCTGAGCTCGGCTCTGCCACCCTCGCCGTTCATGTCCYGTGTCCCCAGCACCAACGGCACCGAAGCCAAAGGAAGCGACTGGACCTCCCGGCCTGGGCACAGGAAGCAAACGCGGTAGCCTTAGTGCCCCATCAAGTCAGCGTGAGCTTCTGCCGTGCAGTTGAGGGGCACCTTCATATCGAGCTTTGCCTTGCTTTGCTTTATTCTTTTCCATTTCTTATTTTTATCTTTTTCATGAAAATATCACATAGTTTTCTTTGGGATACTTTAAATRTATGGAGGGCAGGTGCTAAATGTTGGCGCACGCCTGTGTGACAAATCAGCCTCTAAATRCTCCGAGGGTGCTGGGCTACCATGAGGAAGCTCCCTCTCTCAGACACTAGAAAAGGGAAAGGGTGTCAGAAGGGAGCCAGAAGGGTCTCCTGGCTCATGGGGAAGCCAGAATGCCCTGGGTCCCTCTTTCTCTGACCACCCAGCTGTYACCAGGGGCGTTTTTAGCCCCAGCTTGTGGAGGGCATCAGCTGGAGCACAAGATTTCCTCACAACGGAACAGCCACAGAGCTGCAGGGTTGTAAAAGGAGATGGCAGCCTGGCTTCTAGGAYGGTCTCCAGAAGAGAAATCCTTTGAAGGAAAGAAGTTACAGCCTTCATCCACGTGAATATGTAGGAACAATTACGTGCCATGAGGCARGGCTAGGCAGCCTTTGGTGGAGACCAGTGACTGCAGCCCTGGTGGGGGAGGCCGGCGCTTCCTGGCCGCAGGAATTGCGAGTGGCTGAAGTGGATTAGCGGCCAGCCTGGCCGTGGGAGCGCTCATTCCCCTTCCACCACCTCTTCCATCCGCTTCCAGCTACCACTTCCCTAGAGTTGTGCCTGCAGGCTGAGCCTGCTGTGCCCACCGAGCAAATACTTCACTCCAGTCTCCCTCTTCTCAATGCACTGACCTTTTCATTATCAGAAGAGCCTAGTACTGACTTTATACTATATACAGTGCATATAGCATGCTAAATCCCACAGATAATTTATGTAGGGGTTCATCTCGCTCTGTGAAGTAGAATACATATATATATATATATATATATAAATTACCTCACCTCAGACCATTTTTATGGGAGGAGCACAACACACATTTAGGCAGTTTTAGGAGCAAAGACTAGTTCCAAACAAACAGACTCAGACTGGAGGACGCTGCATGTCAGGCTCAAATGGCAAAACGGGTCAAATCCATGGCCTGATCTACTTCAGAGTCCATGGAGATTTTAAGCAGTTTTAAAAATACACCTCYGCCTGGCTTCCCTTCCCTGTGCCTTTGCGGAGCAGATGGAGCACAAGGGGAAGCGTTTGCGTTTTGAGCAAGCATAGGGAAGGYGCAGATACTCTCTAGCCATGGTTTTCCCCTCTGGAATGTTTCTCATAGTCCCATGTGTACTTTATTCCAGCATAGGGTCCTTCAAGTGGCCTAGGAAGGAGCTGCTGCGGAGAAAACACCCACTTGACGAGTTCCATTTTGCCAGCTGAGCGCTAGAGGAACCACAGAGATTAAGCTGCTCTGGGAGATGGAGCTGGAGGCTTTTCTTTTCCCACAGAAGAGCATTCATGGAGATTCATCCTGGGACGCTCCTCTCCGTCAGCCCCRTGCCCATGTTCCACGGGGGCCGCTGCAACCACGACTGCCTCCCCGGGGACGCTGCCGACCGCTTACCGTGGCCTCCCGCACGAGGAAGGATTCCTGGCAAAACAGGCACCTCCACCCTATGGCAGCGTCCAAGGATCCGGCTCCGCTCAGCGCCCGGCTTCGGAGCGGAGCTCTGCGGCTGCGGCCTCGCCGGAGACAGAAAAGCCCCCCAGCCCGTTGCGGGAGACCAGGCGACTTGGGTCATTTGCAAAATAAGGTCTGGCATGTTTTRTATAGTATTTGATAGCAGCTTTTTATTGGTTACAAAACCTAAGCCCATATACAAAATTAGGAACACATTTAGATGCCTCTTTGAAAGAACGTTTTAGTCTATTTTAACTGATAGTTTAAAAAAATAATAAAAACAATGCAATTTTAAACACTGTTCTGAAAACGTAAAAGTGCAGCAATATACTTTGTTTCCTTTATTAACTATGAAATGGTGCGATCCCAATCAAAAGCTGATAAGGTCACAACAGGCAGAACRGAGCACCCGCACCGTACTCCGTTCTCCCCTGTTCACTTTTAATGTAATGCATTGAGTGCAAGAAAAAGATCAAATCTTCACAGTAGTGGAAAACTGTTATTTTAATATCAATTTGTAGGTCATCTCTAGGCTAATAGCGCAGGCCGAACAGGGGAACCGTCAGTCTCTACGGCGGATAGGGAGACAAAATCGAGTTAGAAGGGGGAGTATTTGTTCACAATAACGTCTGCTGGAACTCTAATTTCACAAAAACTTTGTGACCTTACCTAACTTTGACTTTTTATTGTTTAGTTTCTTAGCGAACACCACACAGTTTCAAGATTTTAGACTATAGTGTGTGAATAGGATGCAGTTACCATATGAAGCTTCAACTCAACTTCTGGGAAAAGAAAAAAGGCACAATGAACTTCAACTCAATTTTATGTGCACAAGAGTTGAAAAAATCTGAGCCACCTTAAAGAGAAATTGATTCTAAAATTTATAAAACCTATAAATAATCAGAGGCCAAACCACTATATTAAAACAGATTATCTAGCAAGTAAAAATCTTGCAGTTTAAACATACGCTTGTATCCGGTTAAGATACAAGACAACTCACTCTTTAAAGTGGCTCCACCTTGGCAGATATATATTTAATGAATGCACACCTGCTATGCGTTGTTCATCAGTGGAAAAACAGCTGATCCACAAAGCTCTGATGGCATCTGGCCTTATCTTCATCACAGTAAATACAACCCACATCCAATAACTAAATTAGTTTAGATTTTTCTATCCCTTCACATCAATGCATTGGGAAGTTACACCCAGTAAACAACAGCAACAAAACCAGTTTGTGTGATAGCTTACAGAATCCCGAAGTGATCCACCTGCGCCCCAGCGGTGCCAAAATCCCTCTGGAAATGCCGGGGGCGGCCGGGTTTCCGAAAGCAACGACCTCCCCTCCCGTACGTGGAGTTGTGCGATGTGCGCCGCACACCGCGTTTCTGCTCAAGAACTGCAGCTCCCACCAGCCTCACACAGCGACCAGTTTGTAGCTTTTTAATCGCGCGAATAAGATCGGAGACGAAATTTCTCAATTGCTCTCCCAATACTCCAAGAGTGAAGCTTTTAGGACGCTTCTAAGTAGGTGCTGGTTTGTTGCCAACCACATCATCATAAGCACTGGTTACTAAGTAAAAAATAGTTTAAGACTAAATTACAGTAAACATGAAAGCTCCACAGTTTAAACCCAATATAAATCAACCATATCCAATTATCAATTTAAAACAAAATATATTGACTACTGAAAGTTGAAAGCAAGATTCTTTTGAGCTAATACATTTTTGGACAGATTTCTTTTTTTTCCACTTTTTTTTTTTTTTTTTTTTTTTCTCTCTACAGTCTGGGACTCTTGCTTTCAGCTTAAACAGAAGTTCAAGTCCATAACAGGTTGTAGCTCAGGTAAAATACCATGCACAGCATTTGATTACTTCAAAACAGCAGGAACACACAGGCTGAAGTGAGTGGTCAAATAGGGCTCGCTGTTCTCAAAAATTAGGTATAATGGCAAAAGCTTTACCAGTCCAAATCTACAGTTCATTCTCCAACCCTGGTTTCTGAGGCAGTTAATGAACACACATCAATTACTGATAGATGAAGTAGTTTTGTTTGTTTGTTTTAAGCTTAAGTGTTTAATCAATTGCCAAGTGTTTGTTTGAAGTTACTTTTATTTCAGTTTCACCAATGAAATTCATTTGGCTTGCATTTTTTTTTTTAATCTATTCTTCCACATAAAGTATATGAAAATATGTTTTGTGGAGGACGATGATGGAGGCCCGGAGCAACCCGGGCCCTTGTAAAGTCTTCCAAAATGTACGCGTCATACCAAAGTGTCTTGATCCACAGCGCACCATTTTCCAAAGAAGCGACTTTTCCGTGGAAAGCCAATGTGCCACCACTATGGAATATTCTTAACAAAACTGCAGATTGCGGTTGTCAGCATGTGGCACCAGGAAAAAGGCAAAAAAAGGTAGTTGGGACTGTTAAAAAGAATTCTAAAACAGTTTAAGAGATCATGCATATGCATTTACAGTCCATGTGATAGTGACGTTTGGCAACTGCAAAGTGACCGATACATGGCTTGCTTTAGAAGCATCAAAACGAAGAGGCATGTGTGTCTTGGAGCCTTTTGTTTCTTCATTTGGTAGCCATCTGGTGGTGCTTCATATTGGTGTGGGACAGAGAAGCTGCATTTTATCGAACTTAAAAATTAAATTCTTTCGTTTGCAGGTTGGCCGTYGGGTCAAAATTGTAAGTACCTCCTTGAGTGGCTTCAGGAATGAGACTGGGATCTTCATCGATCTGTAAAGCACAAGAACAGGAAAATTCATGGGAAGCCAATTCCTTGCACAATTCAGTACACAGAGAAGACACTCACACGTGTTGATCTACTAAAAATATATTATTGTAATTGGATGAGATTAGCTTTTCCAATTCTCTTCAGTTGTGTTTAAAAAGAAAAAAACAAATCTTTTTTCCTGATAACATTATGAAAACAGAAATGGCCACAGCCTGCGTCACCACTTGGTCAAAGCAGTGGCTGCTTTGGTCGTGTGACTGTATTTTAAATGTTAGGGTTCAGCTTTTCTGGAGCTGGCTAATCACCAGCTCTGAAATYCCGAGTCAGCTTTGCACTTCCTCCCGTTTATTGCAACATGCAAATAACTTTTATTAGCAGCTGACAGAAATAACGCTATTGTAATCAGGCTCTTGCCTGCTTGGGATAATTTGGGTTTTTTTTTTTTTTTTCTTTCACTGGTCCTCAGTGTGACTAGGCTTCATTTTGTCACTTAAAGTAACTTCCTAGGAAACACCATGTCTGCTTTTATGTTTTAATTCCTATCTCCTCATTATGGATTTTCAAAAATCTGAGTAAGTCTCAGAAATCGCAGAAAACAGAGATGACARGATAAGCAAAACAGCAAACCTAGGAATCAGCAAAATAGCAGATGGGCCAGGTCAAACCCCTGCAGGAAGTTTTCTGTTCTGTTCTTGAATGACTTTCCAATAGGGCATGTGGGCTGCCTAACTAGAGAGCTGAAATACAGAAATCTTTCTGAAAAGAAGGATTCACCCCCTGGCTCCTAAGAATGGAGACTGATTTATGATAAAGTGAGAAAAGAGGCAGAGCAATGCTGGGTTCCACATGGCAACGTGTCCAATGTCAGCTCAACATCTACCAATTTGTACTTTGCATCAAGGGCAGGTGCACTGGAAAGGATGAGGAAAACCCCCCTTGGAGACCAGCTGTGTTCATGGAAGCTGGAAGCGAGCTAAGGAAYGACCCCACGGCACGCACGCACTGCAGTCGTTAGCGCACTTACGTCGTCGCCAGAGAAATACTGATCTATGATTTCAAATGCTAGTTTATAAATGTCTTCGTTCTCGTGCTGTTGCAAGGCTTCGATTTTCTCCAACCCTGGGTGAAAGACAACGGAGGTGAGTTCAGTATGTTTATCCTGAGGTGAGTTACGGAGTACCCTGAGAAGAACTGGCTTTGAGAAAAGTAACAAAACATTAGCACTGAAGCACACTAGAAAAGGTGCGGCCCAATTTCCAAATATTAGAGACAAAAATAGCTATTGGAATATTAAAATATTATAAAAATAAAAATATTTAAAGAAAATTAAATATTACAAAATAGCTATTAAAATGGCTATTTTTGTCTCTAAGGGAAAAAACGTAGTTTATGAGCCTTCATCACATACTGTACCCAGTTCTGTGAACATGAGGTACTGCTTTCCTCTTTCCTACAAGTTGGATTAAACCTTCTGTACTCATTTTTTCTTTTTCTTCACTTATAGCTTCTGTTCTAGGTACGGTGCCTTCTGTTTCTCTCAAAGGAACTGCCTTCAGCTGCATGTTGTATATAARTATTAAATAACAAAGTAAGGCAGCTGTTGTATATAAGTATTAAATAACGAAGTAAGGCAGTTTCTTACTGAGCACAGTTTAAAATTCTACATTCATTTTAAAACTAAATGGGATATATACAAAAGAAGAACTTTTAATAGGGCAAGCTCTTAAACATCCATTTACTGCTACCTTATAATATATTAATAAGCACATGTTAAAACTAGGATTGCAATAACTAAGTCTGACTCCTCAGCCTGCTTTGGTCTATAGTAAAATTATAATCTTATTTTCGACTTCCAAGCAATGAACTGAAGCGACATGTTTCACTGCAGAACTGAGTGAATGTAGTCATCAAATGAACAGAAATGCAATTCTCATCTACATGTTATTAAATACAACTGTACCTAAAAATAAAAAATGGTACTGGAAGCTACTACACAGACTGGGTCCAACGTGGCAGCTCCTCAAATGAAGCTAAACTAAGAAGAAATAAAGRCTGCCCTTCCTCTCACTGCAAAACGCCCAACTTGCAGATTCAAATACCCATGGTCAAAAAAGCTGCAGTAAACAAGGGCACGGCGGATTGATACGCAGGAAATTAACTTCTTTTAACAACTAATAAGCACTTACCTCCACACTCTTCTATAATTTCAGCTATTGTGCTAGCCTCATCGCCAGCCATTATCAGGATGTTTTTCAGCCCATCCAGCACCACCTGTACCACTTGAGAGTCCTTCACTGAGAGCAGATTGCAGAACGGTGGGATTACGTTCTGCTGTACMAGGTATTCGACCTAAATAGCGGGGAGAAGAAGACGTCTTGCAGCGTTCTGCTTCTCACTGCCCCGCGGTTCAGTGACAATTTCAAATCAACTGCACATACCTGATCCTTCCTCCCACTTATTGTCAAATTGCTAATTGCCCAAGCAGCTTCCTTTTGTGTTCCAAAGTCCCCCTGCAGAAGCAAATTAATAGCTCGTTAAAATCAGCCCGGAAACATCTGTAAAGCTTATTAAAAATCACAGGCTCCTCCTGTCACGTTTATAAAAAGAGGATGACAAGTCGCGGAGCTGGTCGCTTGACTGACCTTCGCCAGCTGGTGTATGATCATAGGGATTAGCCCAGCGTCTATTACAGCCTGCACTTGCTGCTGGTTTCCTGCTGTGATATTGGAAAGGAACCAAACTGCTTCCTACAATTGGACAAAATAAAAAAGCGGAGCATTTTAACAGAACCTTTTGATTAAGTCAACAGATTAAAGAAAAGCAGGACAACCCAAATCATCCATCACCAAGCACTGAACAAGGCTTCTAACCTTGCCCTCCACCAGCCCTTCCAACACAACCATGTGGTTTACTGCACCTCAAAAGCCAAACACTTAGGAGACCAGTGCAGAATTAACGTGGTTAATCCCCTGCACCCAATTCTTGTTCATTCAAGGAGCATCTCTACGCCCTTGGGGCAACACTGACTTRCATCTTACATCCACTTCGCATGGCCGCAGATACGGCCACGTCTTAAATTCTACATCATTTTGACAAAATAAATCAATGAAACCTGAGGAGAGAAAAATTACCCTACGATGTTTGGCCTGACAGCTTAGCTGCAGCTTTCTGTATTTATATAAAAGAAGACAAATCCAACATCCCATTTTCTTGCAAGGGGAAGTGGAGTTAAAGCTCGTTCGGGGTCTCTCACTGAGTTTCAGGCTGGCCTCTTTACTCAGCAGTTCTTTTCCCTCAGGTGGGAATAACTAACATCATAACTAACAGTCTCACGGCAGGTACAAGTCCCTGGTTGCAAAGGAGCTATTTGCCAAGGCAAGCCAGAACAACCAATTTAAAAAACCTCCAATCCTAAGTAAAAACAGATTTTTAAAGAGCCAAYTAAAGAGCCAAAAACTGTGAAAACTGCAAGAGAAAAACTAACGGGCCCCATTTTCCAGGGACCTGTCTTTTATTGGCCCTTAAAACTTACATTCAAAAGGCATTTAGAGACTTCCCTTATAAAAACCAGTCTTTCTAGTCACTCACGGGATGCCCCGATGGTTCTTTTCTGAGCACTGGAAGGGCTGGCAGAAGGAATCCCTATGGACAAGGATAACTTCTTCCGAGCTCCTTGCAGCCGGCAGGTCCTGGAGAAGCAGAGATCCTCTCCAACAGGTCCCTTCCCAACGGGACACTAAGCAGGGGAACCTCGTAAGCTAAGGGCAAACAGGCCARAGGAAGGAAAAAGCCGCCTCCCCAGCCAGCAGCGTCTTTGTAGGAGAAGGACCCATTATGAACATCAAAAAATGCAAAACCATCAAACTGGAAAGAGGGCCCTGACCACCCACTGTCACCTGACTCTCCTATCACACCCTGTCCCTGCGGGGCCAAGGTCCCCACTGACACCTTCATGGGAAGGGGGAGGAGAGGAAGCGCAGGGCTCCTTTCACAAACGGACAGGGCTACTTCCCTGCTCCCTCCGAGGTTAGCACGGGCAAGAGAAGAGAGCAAACTCCATGGCCAGAATTCTTGGTTCATCAAAGTGCTTTGCTCTGGGTTCATCAAAGCAGTTTGGTGCGTGGAGTACTGGAGCTTGAACAATCCCACCCATCGTCCTGGACTCACGGAGAGCAACAATCCTTAGTTATGAACAACCCAAATCAGGTTCTGGGATTGCAAATGCAAAAGTGTCACACCTCAAAGTGCAGAGACCATCCACATCAGYGTGCAACCCCCAGCGTTCCTCCTAAAGCCCTTGGGCTCTTAGACCCAAGCAASCACCGATGCAAACGGCTGTCTTTGTTGCCCATATCGCAGGAATAAGAACAAGAAGAAATCCCTCTGCAGCAGGCCAGAGCCTACTGTTTTATTTTTTAACCACAAAGATTAAGCTAGGAAGAAAGAAACCATAACATACCTTGTTTATCTTCTCTTTTGGATGTGTCAGGAGATTGGGGAAATGAGACAAAACATCACAGTTGAGCACAACTTGTGTTTGCTCGTCAGTACCAGTCACTATGTTGCCTACTGCTCTCAGTGCTGCTGTCTGAATATTCCAAGTGAGGAGGGTGATGGAAAGAAAAAACAAGTTCAAGACATCAATGTTACTTAGGCTAGAACAAAGATCATGTAAAAATGTGTCTCTTCTTAAACAACTAAAAAAAAAGCACTTAGCAAAATACAATACTTCATCTTTCAAGTTATATTCCGAAAAATGGCCACTGTTTCCTCACAACTGAGGCACACAGAACAGCATTTTATTCAACAGAAGCACTGCAGTTCTACTTCTAAAACTGCCAAGATGAGAAAGTTAAAAGGTGTTAAAAGAAAACATATATTAGATGAATTAATTCACCATGTGACTGATCTGAGAACCATTTAGCGTTTCTAGGCTATGCCTGTAACTTCCAAGGTTATTTACTTCTCCACTCAACTCTATTACAGACTTTAAAAAATCATGACTACTTTTCTTCCCATTGACTCTCAGTTGCCTTTCAGAAGTGAACTTTGAAAATCTTTATTAGTTCCTAAATGCTTTAAACTGACTGAATGCCAGAGGGACTCCTTTTCATCGAGTCAACCGTCTGACAGATTTCAAGGCAGCCAAATCTCCTCTGAAGTACAGCCTAAGCAAACGGGACAGATACATGGAGGCATAAAACGCCCCCATTCCAATGGCTGCTCTTTAAAAAACAAGCAAACATCCGGTAACTTTTAGTTTAATTTTGTTGTTGAATTTAGGCAAAGATCAGTTAAGCTACTCTGTGAAGTTAACTAGAAACTCAGTTTACCAAAAAGCAATCCTGTCYGCGAAATGTGAATTTGAACCTACTTCAAAGTTCAAAAATTGCTGAAATAATAGTTGTTTTCCATGGCTATTTGGACAGAATATGCAGCAGCTATTATATGCCTTTACAGAAAAACTGAATTCTGGAAAATATATTTGTATTTTCATTAAATACTCTGGGAGTACAAAAGGAAGGTAGCCCTGACAATTGCACAATGGAGGTTAATGTTTAACCTACCTCTTCATTAAAATCAAGCTAACCTCCAACGAAGCAGTTTTAATATAATTTTCAGCAATCTTTTTACCTTAGCGTGGATAAAATTTCTGTTCACTTTCACCTAAAACAAACAGAGCTCTAAGTGCTCATGTAAGTGCCTCACAGATAAAGGCTCTAGGACAYGGTGTTCAGCAGAGCTCTCCAAAGCCCAGTGAGTGGAAACAGAACGGGACTTACTTGAACTTTCACCTCCTGGTGGCTCAGGAGGGGAACTAGGAAGGGCACAACTCCGGAATCAATCACCATTTGTATCTGCTCGTTGCCACCATCTGTTAAGTAGGACAAAGCCCAAACMGTGTCCACAAGAATCTACAAATTGGGGGAAAAAAAAAACAAGAGAATTTACACCATGAACAATAAAATCCATACAGTGAAATCTTAATTTAATAATCAATACTCCACAAGTTTAGGGGAGCAGGAAGATCAGGCAATTTAGTTGCAGGAAAAACTCAAACAAGGGTGAATTGTTGGGCTTGATTTATAATTCAAAGACAGACAAACAACTCTGCTAGTGCCCTTCTCAAGACTATGAACACCCGGCCACCCAGCACCATTGTAATTTCTGCTAGATGAGCTACCTTTGATTGTAAAATAAGATATAAGCTGTCTGGCAGTTCTTTGGATCCATCTATTGATACTTTATCTTTTCTGATCGATACTGGAGATCTGAAGTCCAACCATAAACTCTATTCTGTGTATTGCCTTTTTTGCCCTCATATTGTGAATAAAATCCTCTGGAGAGGAAAGCTGTTCTTACACCAACCAGAGGACTAACAATAATCCTAAGGACAAAAGTTACAGCCATTTTAGARGTGGCATCTGAAGGAGAAGCAAAGCCAGCGGAAAGAGCAACATCCYATCACGTGGAGATGACATTAGAAAATGTGGGAAGAGAAAAGTGGACCCTGCTGAGGACATCATCTATACAGAGGAACCCATCTCAGAATCACAGAAGGGTTGAGGTTGGAAGGGACCTCTAGAGATCATCTAGTCCAACCCCCTGCTCCAGCAGGGACACCCAGAGCACGGGGCACAGGATGGCAGGTTTGGAAGATCTCCAGAGAAGGAACCTCTTTAGGAGTGGAGCCAGGCCAGCCACAGAGCGGTGCAGGACGTCGCAGAGCCGGGGCTGAGCCTTGTCCGGAGAAAGCGGTGGGGCCGGTGGCACCTCCAAATCCGGGGAGCACCGGAAAGGGCYCCCTCCATCAGGGCAGGCAAATCCCGGCCTCACCTAACGCCCCGTCTACCCTAAGACTTTGAGATTCAGAAAGCTTTTGGATTCGGCAGGAAAAAGAGAGGCCCATGGTTCAGGAGTATTTTTGGTCTGTGAAATTTCCTTCAATTTTTCCCAAATTGCAAACTGTAAAGCCACCATTTGCTGTCTGTCTCCCACTCGCGTAGCTCTGGAAAACCCTGGCAAAATCCCAAATTAAACTGTTTTGCAAATATTTTATGGAGCCAGGCCCACTGCAGCACTAAAAGAGCAGCAGAAGCAGCACTGTCTCCWTCAGGAATAACCAAGGGCAGTTTCACTAATCCTATTCCCTGGGCCCAGACGCAGCACACGGGCTCAGTTTTTGTTTCTCTCAATTGAAGGGCACTACAGAGAGACAAAGTCCTGATGGGAGGAGCGTGAGAAAAGCGGCTTATTATCCTTTAAAGAGTCAGGTTTTACTGGTGTCCCAATGTCATGTTTCAGGATGTAAGTCCAACCCATCGGGATTTCATTCAAAAAAACTTAGGTAAACTCACGGCTTAAGACTGGGGGAAGCACCAAGGGTTTAGTATGGATATTCCCAAAAGAAGTTGTCAAAGGCTCCATGAAACAGAACAGCTTACTGGTGTGCATTTAAATAGATTTCCGTACGTGATTTCTTCAGCTATATAGGTGATGGTGAGACACCCATATATTGATCACAATGTATGACTGGAGTGAAATACAGTATTATGCATCTTTCCCCACAACTATTATACTTCATCCACGCACAACTGCAACCTGGGTCARAATTAAAGTGAGGCTGATGAAAAAGCTGACAGTTCCTAAATTTCTAGTGCTCAATCCTGCAGAATCTTTTTTCTTTAACATAGATTACTTTGCAGAGGATAAAAAAGCTTTCAGAAAAAAAATCAGAAAAGGTGACTTTCTTTTTTTGTCCTCTGAATGACAATTATCTTYATCCTAGTATTTTAATTGTGCCTTTACTGTACGTTAACACACACATAAAAGCTTGCTGTTTAAATACAATCTTCAAACATTTTCTCTCTAGAGAAAACACAAAGAGTCCAAACATCTAAAACTGTAGAATTACTTACGTTTATATCTGTATGGTAAATGAGAACACACAATGCTGGCAAAATCTGAAAAAAAGTTCATTGGTCATTACAGTAGAATAAAATTTACTGTACAAACTTGAATCCAAGTAGGGCAGTCACAAAGTTTGGCTTGAGCCTGCGTTAGCTTATGGCACTCACGCACTTCCCAGCAACTAGGCATCCCCTCTAAGCTATGTACAGAAATACTTCTATTTCAAATTTCTGCAAGTAGGAAATAGTATTATATTTCTCGGGTGCAAAAAGAGCAGCTTATATTTTGAGGGAAAACAAGCAAACATCTCTCTGCTACTTATGAAAGCTTAAACGTTACCAAACCATATACCAAAAATGTTAACATAAAATGAATACATAAAACCCTCCTGAAGTAAAATTATATTTTGGTACTCAATGTATGCAGAAAATGTACACCTGAGACATGGTAAAGCTGCTTAAAGAGAACTTTTTGTATTAGGTAAAGTCCCAGTTATAAAACTTGCCGTGTTCTTCACTTYTAAGATTTCACTGAAGTTTCCTTTCTTACAGCATTATACCTTTTGTGGCTATAGAGACTACAGACAKCCTTTGGAATTTATCTGAGCACAAAGAGCTTTGTGTACCAGTATAGTTCTGACCAAGCAGCATCACGTTTTTTATTAGCTGTGCCTGTTTTGAGCCAGTTGAAAGGTTTTTCTGAGGCTCAGATTCCCACATGGGACCTCCTGCTGACTGCACCTTAGCAGCTACTCAGAACGCTCAATGTGCATTACCTCACAGGATCATTTACATTTCCTCTTGCTAAAAGTAATGACGTTTGCATACTTAAGAGATACAGAATCTTGTTCACAGCAGCCTTTTGGATAAAAGCAATATACGTTCCGTTAACACTTTGCTATAGCATTCATTTTTATTGCACCTGTTTCAATATATGCCTCATCAATCTTCAGTCTTATCACTTTCAAATGTTAGAGGTAGCTCTACTAGAATCCCAATCAGAAATACCAAACTGCTCTAAATTATTTCAGTTAACAACGAGTAAGTGGCAGAAGACACTGTCAGGACACATTCATACATTCCTAGTGTGAAAACGTAAAACATTTGGCCTCTAGCCCAGAGTACAAAAATCATCTGTCCCAGTGTAATTCTTTATTTACCTCCTGAACTGTCTCCATAGGCGGTGGGGGGTCCTTATTCCTGCAGAGATTTACAATGACCCATGTGACGTTCCGAAGGAAGGTGATGGGAATGGAGGGATTGATGAAGGACAGAAGAGGTTTGACAACTCCCAGTGATATGACATAATCTCTACACTGAGGACCATCACCTACAGAAATGAAAATTGTTGTAAAAGAAATTACATTAAAAATGGAAAATTTTGAAATGTATGCAGTGACATGTTGGGATACTGAAATTCTATGTTTCCTCACCAGCAGTCTGCTACTAAACATTGGTGTTCAATTAAATATACATACGTCCAGCTATGTATGTATATTTTAGGGGACACAAAATTTACCCTACTAACATTTTGTGTATTAAGTGATGCTAGGCTTTAAAAAAAAATCAGTACCTATAAAATTCTGGCCACATAAAGAAACATACTAAGCCATAGAATTTAGAGGAAACATAGTCTCGTATGATAATGCCAATGTTCAAAAGTCCAATTCTAAAAGGATATGATCTCTGAATTCAACTCTTTTAGAAGTAACACATTACCTATAATATTTCCGAGAGCCCAGACAGCTTGCTCACAGACATTCTGATGCGGCGAGTGAAGTAGTCTCAAAAAGAGGGGTACTGCATCTAGAGAATGCAAAGATGGGATTTGTTTTACTGGAATGGGATACCARCACAATATTATCATTCATTAATAAGAAATGCTTTTTCCAATGTGAATTATACTAAGATACAAGTTTTTGTTATGAAGAACACACAAAATSTGAGTTAACCATTTTGATAAAAACCTAGAGAGAGGAAAATCTGGATWTGAGAAAATTATCAGCAATTAAACAGCAATGCTCCCCACCTTTAAACATTTCCCTATAATATGCATGAGTCTCAGTGTATTCTAAATGACATCTAAAGATGCTAAGCTGAACATCCTGGTAACTCCAAATTTCCAGTTATCCATGCCTGCAATAGGTACCTAGCAGTATGACCAGCCCACTTCTGAAAATACGCTTCAAACATCAAGTTTAAGAAAATACCTCCCAAGAAGTAGTTTTAGCTACTTTCTGTACACGGTGATGATATCACAGAATCACAGACTGGTTGAGGTTGGAAGGGACCTCTAGAGATCAYCCAGTCCAACCCCCTGCTCCAGCAGGGACACCCAGAGCACGGGACACAGGGCGGCATCCAGGCGGGTTTGGGAGATCTCCAGAGAAGGAGACTCCACAGCCTCCCTGGGCAGCCTGTGCCAGGGCTCTGGCACCCTCACAGGACAGAAGTTCCTCCTCACGTGGAGATGGAACTGCCTGGGTTTCAAACTCCTCGTCAGGCAGCGCAGCCCTCGCTCCGCCGAGCGCCTCTCATCCCAGCGGCAGCTCTCCACCTCCAGGCCAAGGCAGCAGGACCTGCAAACAGAGCTGCTTCCCACCCGCTCTCCTGAAACGCATGTGGAAAAGGCTCCTCTCTCCTGCCGAGTCCTTCTGTCACCCCTACGGCCTGGGCAGATTTGGGGGAAATGCCCATCCCAGCCACAGCTCCTTGCAGCTCTGTGTACCAGAGCAGGGATTTTAACCCTACTCTGCCATATGGATACATTTCCAATGTACATCTCGGCAAAGACAAGCCAGGGAAACTATCAAAACTACTCCTGGATATTTAATGTGCACTTGCTTTAAAATATAGCTACTCAAAATGAATGTAAGCTATGTTAATTACAATACCTTATTTACACTAGCTTTTTAAACACAAAGATATATGCTATAAGCTCAAATTTGGAGGACCATGGGTTTGATTATTAACAGAGGAAAAACAAGTAACTTTTGAAATTATTAAGCTTCAAATTGAAAGCAGCAATAGAGCAACAGATTTTTAAACTGGTATTCTGTTTATTTTCATTTTAATTTATAAGTTAATATAATTTCTCAGACTTTCTTTTTACAAAGCAAGTTATAAATAAGTCTTTTCATTTGGATTCAGTCAAAGAGGAGACCATTGGGGAACTTGAAAAAGGAAGAAAATTATCTCTTAATCAAAGAACATTTGGAAAGGATGAAAAAGCCTGGGAAGAGATTTTCAAAGGTATTTAGATACCAGAAAATGGAATCAGAAGACAGAGACACCAAATTGCTTCAAGATTTTTTGAAACAAATTCCTTTTTTTTTCTTTTCAAGGCCCACAGAAGTCCAAAGCCTGTTTTTGTTTTGATAAGCATTTCTGTTCTAGTGAGCCAGTATATTAACTACACTCGCTCTTGCAATTAGCAAGACATTTAATTAATATACAAAATAGCATTTTGATTCGAAAGGTGGGTTCACACATCAGCTAAAAAAAAAAGCCAAACAAGTCACCACTTCCCTGTATAAAAACACTGAATATGAATAAGCTAAGCTCATTACATCACAGCTGAACTGTAGCCTCCTGTCTAACAGAGAATTGCTGCGTGTAGCCTAAAGGTGACTGTTTCAGGATGTGTGCAAATATGCCAAAGCTACATAGATAATCCTGAAAAATGAGAATAGGTTGATGTAAAGGAGCGAACAACAAACATGAATTTGCATCATTTCTCCTCAGTTCACTTTGGAGCCTCCTCTCCCAGCTCTTCTCCTAATGGCAGCTGCCCTGCTTGGTCACAAAAGCAGCAGGGGCAGCAGAGCACGTGGCGGGTGTACGGGAGATACTAATCACAGAGCCAAGGCAGCATTGGTGACAATGCCAAATTCAACCCGGCAACATTACATAACTGGGTGCATTTAACAGCTTTACTGAGATTTATGACTATACCTTTCATGTACGAGGAATTATCRGCTAACAAGTGGTTTGGCCATGGGTGGAGTAATAGTTTATGATTTCAAAAATGAACCCCAAAATTAGAAAGGACTAACATTTTATATAATGCTTATTGTATGATCTATGCTTCTGTTTATCCTCTTTATGGGAAATTCAGGTCTAGGATTCTTAATCATCAGTGATAGACGATTAATGTGTAAGTGCAAAGGTACAAACTCCTGCAGAAAGATGACACTCATATGCATTTATTATTTTAACAATTTTGATAACAAACATCATTTGTTACCCAAATGCCCCTTATTTTCATTTCTACCCACATTATCTCCAACTCTCAATAATTTAATACTTACTGGACTGTACAACGGCTTGAGTCTGTGCAGAAGTGCCTGACGCTATGTTAGTCAATGCCCATGCAGCTTCAAATTGTAACGAAGGGCTGCAACAAAACAGTTTTACAGGAATAACCTGAAACATGAGCTGCACATTATTTTACAATTCACTTTAAATGTACAGTGTCTCAGAGTACATACAGCTGGTAAGGTCAAAGAGTACCACGGAGCTGAAAGTTTTCTCAAAAGACATGTAAGCTTGAGCATTTCCGAGGAATAGCTATGGGAAAATGTTACATTCTATGGCTTTTGTGAACTGCCCATTGCTTTGGCTTTACATCAATAACCCTTCTCCCCTCAAAATACAGTCGTACTGGTTGAAGCCCGTGCCAGCCTGTAAAGCTGACCACTACTCCAGTCAACTGCTCATCTCCTGACATCACTGACTTCCAGCCCTCCTCACCACAAAACGGAACTCTGCCTCTCTGTGATGAGTAACAGATGCCTTTCAGCATCCAGTGGATAAAAACACCATGTCTATTTAGTGAAAAAAGCACTTACAGCCCCCTAAACCATTAGTAGTTCCTAGTTACTGTCAATCGCAGCTGGGTTATTAGGAGAAACCTGCCCTTTCTAACATCACGGCCCACACCACGCACAAGCTGGGCAACTAGGAGAARCCCGCTTCCCTGCTCCTCACAGCCACGGGAAATGCCTAGCACTGGTATTAAAGCCAGCTTGCCAAATGCAGATTAAATTAGACGCCAGCTTTACAAAGCGCTGCACGCCTGTCCCTCGCGCGGTCCTGGGCGCTGTGYCTCACGCTGGCTCAGATCACAACAGGTAACAGGCAACAGCACTGCAGTAAAGCAGCTTGCATGAAAACTGCTGTTCAAGCCAAGACCACAGGTTAAAAACTGCAAAAGCTACGAACGAGTTTGCGGCTTGCGGTGGCTGCAGCAGGAACCAGGKGTCTGGCTGGGGGAGGAGTGGAGGATCCATGTTATTTGATGATTATTTTTCATTTTCTTGTTTTTTGGGGGGATTCTTCAGCAAGTCCATTTTATGTACAGCCAGGCAAGCTGCTTTCTGAGGTTTTCCTATGCATTAGTTTTCAAAGCACTTCCAGGTTTTATTGGAGATGGGATGAGAGAAGAATTAGATATGGGGATGCAAGATGTGAAAATAAGGAGTTGCAAAAACTAACGGACCCTATCAGCAGCTATCCATAAACCTTACGGATAAACCTTATGGTCTAGGACCAAATCCATTAAAAGTGTAATGCTGGCCCGACCTTCACACACACAGTACGTTTTTCTTCCCTCCTTCTGGTCTGAGTGCCCTTGGGATAAGCTCTCAGTTATAACACGAACAACAGCTTCAATTACCTGTTACAAAAAGCCTTTGCAAAATCTAGCTTTCCTCAACTGGGTATATCAATCATTAATTAAAAGAACTGGTTAAGAAAACACCAAATTCAATTTCAAAAGGCTCATTAAATATTTACAAGGATAAATCATACAAAATCTACACTGAAAATTCAAATTAAATTAATTTTCATAACACTGGACCATTTACTTTCAGAATAGGCAGGCATTCATGACCCATTTTTAAATACAATTTACTTTGTATATTATTTGCACATTCTTGCCAGCTGTTTTCTTAACTGCTTTGTTAAACAAGCTAGAAAAAACCCAAACTTAGGCTTCATGTTTTTGCAAACATCAAATTACACCCAAAACGTCAGTTTGCGTTTTCTAAAATTTCTAATCCTTACAGCTATAGAAATAATYTTGAAAATGGGAATACTATAAACAAATACCATCGGGCCTGCCTCAGACCAAAGACAGCCCAAAATATCTACCTCCAATTTGTGAGTTCTCATTTATCTAAACAGGAGACCAAAGATAGCCTAAAGTATCCTACCTCAAATGCTGCAGTCCCTATTTATCCAAACAGGAGAGCCCTGGATTGTGAACATGGCGCTTTTCTTACATGTCATGATATTCCTGCAACTCCATGCTCAAGGCTGTACTTTTTRTAAGTCTCTGCTATTAAAACTCTTACTCTCAACCTAAGAATCAGAGCCCAGAGCCTGCCCACCACGGTGTCCCTGCACTGCAGGGAACAGCAGCTACGCAGAAGCAGAAAGAAACCCACCTTGCATTAAGAGCAAAACTTCTTCTAATGACCTTACTGGAAGAGCCCTTGGCTCAGGGAAGAGCTGTGCTCACAACTGGGCACACAAACACACGTTTGTGACAAGCAGAGCACAGTAAGTCTGAAAACTGAGTCCACTGCTTAGAAAACAGCAAAAAGAGACAAAACCCACAACCCTCTCCCCAAAACCCACCACATGCAACATTCAAAATGAGCAAGAAATTGAGCAAGGAGCCTCCCATTAGTGCCTGCATGAGCACAGCCAGCTAAAAAAGAATATGGCATTTTGGGGGCAGAATTAACACTCTGAATTAATTCTGGTAAGGATTGATTAATACTGGAGAATTTACAGTTTATTGTTGTGGCATCTGATCCACTGCATCAGACTGTATGGAGCTTTGAATACTAGGCTCCATGTGAAATAACTAGAATTTCTGTGCAAGCAGCTTTTCAGTAAAGGTAAACATTTTTAAAGGTGCATACTTACTTATCATCCCTTTCTAGGCATTTCACCAGAATTGGTAAAATTCCAGATTTTATTAAGTCATCAATAGGTGGATTTCTGTCACTAGATAGGAGTTTTCTGTGAAATTAAATGGAAAAACAAAATAAGTAACTTTCATTGGAAAAAGAATATGTATAGTAAGYACATGCATATGTCTTTTATCTATTTTTCACCTTGCAGCTTGGACAGCGCTCAGCTGGATCACGGGGTTGTCACTTGTGGCGTTCTGAAAATAAAAAGAGTAAAAATTAAAAGTGCCCAGAACAAGCACTAGTAATTAAAACGAAATAAGGAGCAAACATAACCTACCTGCAGTATAGCTTCTAGTGTTACGTTTTGCTTGAAAAGAAGAAGAAATTGTTTTAGTAATTTTGTTGCTGAATACAATAGGCTTTTAAGACATTTAATACGGTTAAACAGATTTTAACCCAGCATTATCAAGTCACAATTTTGTTTTCAAGTAACTGCAAGACTTAAGAGTGCTAAAGTAAGTACCACCTTCTAAAAAACCACCACCAACATTCTGTAAATAATTCCAGAGTCAAGGAACTCACTGCTTTGAAGTCAGCATCAACATCAGAGTCTTCTAAACTTTCTTCTTGAGGAACATTTCTTTTTTTCAAAAGATGTTCATCTCTTTTGTTCTGGGAAAGAATGTTGAAAAATAAAGACATTTAGGGGTGATGATAAAATGGCACTTTTCTAAATTAAAGTTTAGATAAGGCTGCTTCCAGAAAGTCACTTTTATCTCCACATAGAATTCAAAGTATTTTCATTTCAGCTACAAGAACCCTGGAGCTTGCAAACTGCAGACAAAACTACTGCAAGCCATGACAGTAAAAAAAATTAATATCAATTTTCCAACAGAAGCTTAAAAAAACAGCGATTTGTGTGACATTAACATTTAGCAGCACACAGATTTTTTATTTTTAGTGCAAGATTTATTTACAGATAAAACTATTTCCAAGTTGCCTGGTTATGCAGATTACACATGTTTCCACCCTGAGTGTAAACTCGCATGCTCCCAAGATGCTACCACCTGTAATACTGCCCACTCGCTCACAGGGTCAGTCTAGTTTGACTTGAAGCACCCCCCCAATTTTTGCTCCGATGAGGAATTTCTAAATGCAAATGAAAAATGCCTTTTCAGTGGTAAAGTACCCATTTTGTGTTTGTAGCTTATTTAATTGAAATACTTGACCAGAGAAAGCCTCCACAAAAAAAAAAAAAAAAAAAAAAAGGCAATTAAATCATTTACCAACTCCACACAGATGCATTTTTTGGGGTGAATTTAAAATGTCTTATTATTACTCCAAATGTATAAAGCAGTATTTTCCCAATTTTGAACATGGTATCYGTCTTTGATACATGCAGATGTACGATCAAAACTGAGGTGGCAGCAGGTGACGACAGAGCGAGTACATCCAAACAGAGAATCACAGAATGGTTGAGGTTGGAAGGGACCTCTAGAGATCATCCAGTCCAACCCCCTGCTCCAGCAGGSACACCCAGAGCACGGGGCACAGGGCGGCATCCAGGCGGGTTTGGAAGATCTCCAGAGAAGGAGACTCCACAGCCTCCCTGGGSAGCCTGTGCCAGGGCTCTGGCACCCTCACAGGAAAGAAGTTCCTCCTCACCTGGAGATGGAACTGCCTGGGTTKCAGCTTGTACCCATTGCCCCTTGTCCTGTCACTGGCCACCATGGAGAAGAGCTTGGCCCCATCCTCCCTACATTCTCCCCCCAGGTACTTCCACGTCTCCTTGATCAGATGCCCTCTCAACCTTCCCTTCTCCAGGCTAAGCAGGCCCGCCTCGCTCAGCCTTTTCTACGTCATTCACAAGGGCACAGAGATTTCAATCCCCAGTGAAGCAAAGACATGGCAGGGTGAATCAGGGCTACAAAGCGCCAAGCAGAAATCTCTTCTACTGGTAACGAAAGGCAGACCAAGCAGAACCACGTGCTAAACCAGCAGCACTGACTACAGGTATCGCACCGGCTGCGCCTGGCTCAGCTGGATCCGCCGCGGCAGCCCCGAACGGACTGACCATCAACCCTTATCCTGGAGGAAGCAGCCCCTGCAGGAACATCCTGATGCCTCCAGTGCTGCTGTGCTCCTCCTATCCTAAACCCTGTGCGTTGCACAGCCCTCAGCACGTCTGTATCTGCACGAAGGCACCGGGGAAAATACTCCATTTCCAGGGTTACATTCGCTCCTCCCGCAGCCATTCCCTGCCTATGGAAAAGGTGCAGCCTGGATGAATCGGGGTCTCCGTGCACAACTGCCTCGAGTTGCCTGGTGGAGCACGCTAAATGATTCACACTAAATAATTCAGCTGCCAAGCTTGAGTTTCCCTGTCACCAGCAACACGAGCTGCTGCGCTRCAGGATTTTGCTCTTCCTAAAATGCTGGGTTTAGGATTTGGGATGAATTCTCGGGATCTGGTATCATTGGGGCTCAGTTGTGTGTTTTGGAGCCTCTTGCACTGAAGACCTTTCAATGAAGACAAGTGACCTTTACTGCTAAATTTCAATAAGAAAGCCAGCTTTCTAAGTGCAGACTGCTCCCAGGTTCTTCAATTCACCAAGAACTACTGAGAATTTAACAAGCATTAACTGGCTATTTTTACTGAAATCATTGAAAGGAAAATTCTAGTTAGGAGATGCCACCTTATTAGACATCTTATTTCAAGTTTCTTCCCATGGTGAAATAACAGCAACAGTTTGTGGCTTTTTTTTCAGGAGTGCAAATGGTAGATTCCCCCCTTTAGGTGTTTTTACACACAACCCTTTGGCCTTAAGGTACTGTCCCTATAATAGGGGAAAGAAAAACTGTCCACCCCTGTCCCATASAGCCCCACACAGAAGTCCCTATGCTGACCCAGCACAGAAGCAACTCRGAGCACTATTAATGTGTTATTAATGTGAAATCTGTCCAAAAGATGGGTATACAAGAGTCATTTAAAGTCACATGTTATTCTCTGTCATACAAGAAAATGGGAAAATAAGGCTAAAGTCTTCTCAATTGCATTGACATTAAATAGATGCCATCCATTTGCAATGATAACCACATCATCATACATACAAGAATATTCAGTATTCGCTTTTATGTGGACTGCATCTATATTTAATGCACATTACTTCCATGCYCAGTATTTCTCCTAACAAACCATGCCAAAATCCACCAGAAATACATGAAGCACTTGGGAAAAATCACACTGTGTGTTTTCTAGCTTGGAAGGACAAGAAATTTTTGGATGCAAAAAGAAAAACCACAGGGTATCAACCATGGTTCGGGATGGATGGAAACCCAGCAGATTATTCCAAGTGTTTGCTGGGGTTGTACCTCTGTTACAGAGGGACACAGAGGCTGTGGGAACCAGTTACTCCAGAAAGCAAAAAYAAGGTTGCATCTTGAGCTCCTCTCTCCAACATCCTTAAATCCCAGGACGATGACAGCTGGAATCCAGCTGCAAATAAGGAGAATACAGCTGGAATACGGCGGGAATCCCACTGTGGACAAGGAAGCAGCATCTTCACAGAGCGGCAGGGAGGAGCTGTGTGGGTGGTGACCATCCATACAGCTACGAAAAGCAGGASTAACTTCAGCTGTGTCTCCTTCAACACTTGTCTACACGTGCATTGATGCCGGGGGTACTTTGGAGAGAGCTTCACCCAGCAACGCTCCCCACAGAAGCACCGTTTACTAGAGCAGAGTCCCATTGAGTCCCCAGACACCCGCTCCAAAGGGCTCCCTTTGGACCCTCCTCCCCACGGGCAGGGGCAGCCTGAGAAAGGTCCAGGTGGAGAAAGCGAAACCCCTGCTCCAGGTGAGAGCTCTGTAGGYACCAGACATGGGGACACCCCCCGARGCCACCGAGAGCAGMAGTTCTCACCCTGCTCTYGTCGTCACGGCCTGTTCCCCCTTTGCAATTTGGGAATGGAAGGTTAAGCAGGTGGCCCTGCTGGAGCAGGGGGGTTGGACTAGAAGATCTCTAGGGGTCCCTTCCAACCTCAACCACAGAAACACAGAATCATTAAGGTTGGAAGGGACCTCTAGAGATGATCTAGTCCAACYCCCTGCTCCAGCAGGGACACCCAGAGCACGGGGCACAGGGCGGCATCCAGGCGGGTTTGGAAGATCTCCAGAGAAGGAGACTCCACAGCCTCCCTGGGCAGCCTGTGCCAGGGCTCTGGCACCCTCACAGGACAGAAGTTCCTGCTCACGTGGAGATGGAACTGCCTGTGTTTCAGCTTGTACCCATTACAACCATTCTGTGATTCTGTGTGCGATTACCCCGTGAGATAGTTTTTGCCTCAGAAAAGCCAATTCCTGAGAATTTTCGGCAATGGACTTGAAGAGCAAGGAGCCTTCTTGAGCAGTCCTGTCCTGTGATACAAAAGGCCAAAGCCCACCTAAGATCCAAGACGCAGAAGGCAGCAAAGCCCTGGAAGCAACATGAATTAGAGAGGATCACTGGCAGGATCCTGGCTAGAATTCTCCTACAAGGACATTTCCTAATGTTAACGCTAAGCAAAATAAGTCAGAASGAGCACATATGCTGTAATGCAAAGCCATTCTGCCCTCAGCGAGGTGTACAACAGAGGACTGAGCTGCACAGGGCATAAGTGACCACAGCTTCACGTCAGAGCTTTTGGGAACGCAGGCAACATTTGGAGGCTGCTGGTCAAATGGCACAGGGGGCTCCAGGAAAAACAGCCCTGGCCAGGGCAAGGCTAGCAGGGATCTTCCTTCCCCTCCTCATCGCATGCACATGGTTGGCTGCAAAGCAACTGGTAGGAAGGTATCCAGRAGAGGATCACGAGGAGCTGGAGCAGAGGGATTAGCACTTCCCAGTAAGAAGAGCTAAYAAATACTTCCTGAGCAAAGCCATGATTAGTTAGCATTTGTTACTAAGGCAAGGTGGGCAGAGAGCCCTCCAGGTCAAAAAACAAAGACTCTTACGCTGATTGAAACAGCCCTGTCCCTGTGCAAGGTACCCAGCTCCTGACAGATAAACACTGAGCTCCACACACAGTGATTATTTGTGACTTATTGAGTCCCCTGCAGAAAGTAAAAGAGCATGACTGGCAGCTTGGCACGACCTTGAAATGCTTCCATTTTATCCTATGACGAYAGGCTCTTGTCTACGGGAAAGGCAGGGGGCTGCAGTCCCTGAGGAGCCGAAGAACCTCAGCAGGTCCCCTCCTTCAGAAGGGAAGGTCCCCAACCACTGGGCGAACTAACCSTGGCGAAGCTGCGATCTCCACCCTGCAAACCCTTCCCAGAATTAAACAGCAGGCAACAGACGACGCATGGTACGTGCAGCAGGGTTGCAGCTTGCAAACAGTCCGTGGGGAATCCTGCACACGCTGGGAACACCTTGTGTGATCCCCCCAAGGATGCGGGCACAGGATTCAAAACTGCCCATCAGTGCAAACGGGTCTGAAAGGCAACAGGATCAACAGAAGGAGCAGACTCACCTCTGGGCAAAGCGGATGTCCATCAAGCTACACAGGACCCAGAGGTAAAGCAATGGATCTGTGAAGGGCTGCTAAAAAATACTCATTTATATATATGCTTTTCAGCATTTGAAACAGGGATGGGATGCTTCTGACCTGCCTATGTCGAGAGGATTTAAGGTC